TGAAGCTGCTGGCTTAGGTATGGCCTGGCCCTGTGATCTTCAGGGGAGTGAACCAGCATTTGGAAGATTCCAGATTCCTGTTACAATCCTGCGAACACCTGTCACAATCCTACTAACTCTAACTTTCAAATAAATAATTAAATCTTTTAAACAGATACAACTCATCCAGCTTCTTTCTGAGTGCTGCTGTGACCAACTTTCAGCTCCACCTGTCATCCTCTCTCTTTACCTTTTATACTCCAGCTAATTATTTGAGCTAGTCTTGAACCCTCTTTACAAATGCTGTTCTCTCAGCCTGCGTCCACTCTCTTTCTCTCTCTCTCTTTCTCACACACACACACACACACACACACACACACACACACACACACACACTTTCCTCTCAGCCACCCCTACCGCAGCACGCAGGGCACACCTGTTTCATGGCCCTTGTTACCCAGTCTACCCCGGCCCTCCTACCTTCCCTGAGCACTGACTGTCAGGACTCTGCGCATTCAGTTCCCAAGGATCTGACCAGAACAATCTGTGAGTTTCAGAGCTGAGCTGCCCCAGCTCAAACCCTGGCTCTTCCTGCCTGTGTGCATCTCTGGTGGATAGCCTCTGAGCCTCAGATGCCTTCCCTGTACGACAGTGATGCTGTCTACCTTGTGAACTACCGTGAGGATTAAATGAGACACTGCATACACAGAAATGTCTGCCCTTCCACTCCTACCTTCAGCAAGCTTTGTCCTGGTGCTGGACTCGCAGCCTGTGAGGCAGCGATTAAATGAGAACTTTTTCTGTCTGAATATCTGCACTTGTCAACTGGTGTTAATAACACGTACCTCACAGGCTCTTGGGGGATTAAGAGATTCATGGTATGTGTTAAGTTACAACCACTTGGTTGGTTCAACCAGGAAATATTTTTATTCTTTATTGCATATAGACTGTTTGAGAGGCAAGAAAAGAGAAAGAGAGAGAGAAAATCCATCCACTGGCTCACTTCTCAAATGCCTCCACTATCCAGGTTTCACCAGCCTTCAAATCCTTGGGCCATCGCCTGCAGCCTCCCGGAGCGCACTGCAGCAGGAAGCCAGGAATGAATCAGGCACTCCACGGGGCAGGTGGGATTCCTGACCCAGCATCTTAACCTCTCGGCAAACGCCCTGCCCTCTTAGTTTTGATGGAAGTCACAGGTAGTGTGAACTTTTTTTTCTGGTCTTTTGGGGGTAACAAAGAGGCTTGATCACTGACATGAAGGGAAGAAGGAAGAAAGCAATTTATTAATATTTGCAATAAGAGGTTCGTAATGGTGTGATATTGTTAACTTTACTACCTACCATTCAGGCCTTGCTTGTGGGGCATAAAGATGGATACTTCAGATGCAGTGGACACCAGCACCACGCATGCATGTGCAGTTATACATACATGTGCGCAAGGCTACTTTTCTTCAGTTTGAAATAAGAAGTTACATGAACATGGAAAATATGAACTGAGCTGCCCTGGGGTGTGACTACACCTTGGGAAACATGCATCTCCTCCAAGTCTTTTCTTTGGCTTCTGTTTCGGGCTTTATGCCTCCATTTCTTTGGTTACTGGATAGCACAGGTGACACTGGATGGGATCAAAGGGGACACAACATTGCCTAAGGAAAAGAAATCCCCCACTAGATTGCTAGAACATGTTGAGAAAAATTCAGGACAAACACTGTGGCAGGGGGTGGAAAAGATTTCTTAATTAAAAAAAAATTGATAGGCCTGGCACGGTAGCCTGGTGGCTAGAGTCCTTGCCTTACATGCATCAGGATCCCATATGGGCGCCAGTTCGTATCCCAGCTGCTCTACTTCCCATCCAGCTCCCTGCTTGTGGCCTGAGAAAGCAGCAGAGGATGGACCAAAGCCTTGGGACCCTGACCATGTGGGAGAACCAGAAGCAGCTCCTGGCTTCTGGCTTTGGATCGGCTCGGCTTTGACCGTTGTGGCCATTTGGGGAATGAACTGGCGTACCAAAGATCTTTCTGTCTCTCCTCTCTGTAAATCTGACTTTCCAATAAAAATAAACGTTTTTTTTTAAAGTTTAAACTCTTTTAAAAAAGAGTTCAGATAAATAATGCAGGCTTTACGGACTATATAGTTTCCTTATAATGACTCAACTCTGCTATTATAGCACAACAATTACCATAGACAATAATAAACACAGCTATGTTCCAATAAAAATTTATTAAAAAAAAAAAGAAGAAAAGAAGGCAGAGGGCCAGGATTTGCCCTTAAGTGCTGAGTTTCAGATTCCCTGCAGGGATGTTTGAGGACCCCTGAAGCCATCTAGGAGACCACACAGATCTTCCAAAGGTAGTTGGGGGCTCTGTCCCATCCCCTCAAGAACACAGCCATGTTGCATGTGGCAGCAGCAATTCTATTTGTGTGTGTGTGTGTGCCTTGGTATTTTTTAAATATATTTTTATTTTGAATTTTGAATTATGTGGTACAATTTCATATAGGCTGGAATTCCCCCCAAACTCCCACCCCCTGACAGATTTTCCCCATTTTACCACAATGGTATAGTCTTTCATAAGGAATCATAATTCTATCAGTCCCTTATTTAGTGCCTTGGTATTTTGAATGAGTGATTGCAGTCGCTCCTTGGTGTCCCTCCTTTTCCTCGTCCAGTGACCATAGCTGGCTAAGTGCTTCCTGTTTTGTTTTGGCTGCCTCTCCCAGCGTTGGGTGATTTTATGAATGATGCCATTTCCCATTTGTCCTTACTAAAGTCCTGGCTGCTATTCAAGCTCTCCATTGGCACCGGAGCAGGATGTGCTATACGGAGCGGTTACCAGACTGGATATGCCACCACTTTGCTGTGTGACTTTGAGTAAGTCACCTCACCTTGCTTGGACTCACTGGCCTCACTGACCAAATCAGAGAACTGGCTAACTAGTCTCTATAATCCTTTCTAGGTATAAGCTTGTGATTTTAAGAGACTGCAACCCGGACTCTGGGCAGCTCTCTGAAGCAATTGATTAGGGTGTCGCTCACAGACCCTAATGAAGCTGCCAGGAGGCCAACAGAAATTAGCAAATTAGTCACATGATCTCCTGCAGGTGGCAAGTTGCCCAAGGCCCTTGCAGCTGAGGGGGTAGGGTGCCAGCTAGTTTCACGGTATCTGAGTTCCCACTCCACTAAGGGGAGAAGAGGGTGACAAATGACTCCAGGTATACAATGCCCCAAGAAAATTCATTTCTATTTCCAAAGATTGTCACTGTAAAGCTACATAATGCACACAAGGACTGCCTTGGTGGGAAACTCTAGAAGCTGCTGTAGGGAGCTGGGAAGCCTTCCCTTCTCCATCAGACCCTCCTAGGCGGGGCTCTTCTAGCCATCTCAAGGGCCCATGCATAGATCACAGGAAACAAATAAATGATCGAATCATCCAATTCCAGAACATGCCAAAACACAGAGAGAGGAGGGAGGTCAGGGAAGGTCGGCACCTTGCTTTTGGTGGAGGCCTGGGAGGCGGAGCACGGTGGCATGGTGGAGGAGGTGCAACACATCAGCTCTGGCTGGTCTCCCTGCTGCCAAGCCAGCAGCCTGTGGAGGCAACAGATGAGCAGGGCAGAGGCAACAAGGAAGTCCATGGCTGGCCCCCAGGAGAGCAGGCTCTTTACTGCCGGACTCCACCAAGCTATCTCATTTGTAGCCTAAATAATTCACTTGCTGACCTCTCAAGGAGCATTAGGAGAAAAACAAAACCCAACCCAGGCCTCAAGCTCAGGTTCCCACCGCACAGAGAGCAGGCCAGGAGACTGGAGTGCTGCGCGGTCCAAGCTGCAGAGTTGGCTTGCTTCTGAGCAGTCACGGAGTCTGAAAGGGCCCAGGGTCTATCACTGCACAGCCCTTGAGCCAAGACTCATTTCCCTGCTAAAACAAACAGAACAGCAAAAACAACGAGGAAACTGCCACACAGACTGCATGTGGCCTCCAGAGCCCAAAATATTTATTCTCTACTCTCTTCTTTCCAGATCAAGTTTGCCAAACCCTTATTGCATCCACCAGCCCTGAAGGAGGCGGTGACATATTCAGACCAACTCTTTGACTGCCCTGCCTTGGGAACCCACAGCATGCAGATTCTAAGGAGCGGGCATAATGGTTCACCCAAAGCAAGAAAAAAGACTGAAGTTGGGGTGAGGAGGGAGATGAGGAGGGAAGGAGCATTGGGGACCATCACTCAATTGCCTGCTCCAAAGGCCAAAACAGCCTCCTCCACGTTGATGCCCCACTCTTAGGGCCTGGGTAACTCCAACCCCAGCAGTCAGGGAAAATGTGACTCTTAACTGGTATGGCACCTAAGTGGCCGCCAGCCTGTCTGTGCTGACCCCCAATCCATCCTGCTCCCCACCTCCTATCCAGCAGGTACCCTGGAAGAGAGAGGACTCTGAGCCGTCCTCTACCCACCCCGCTCCTGCAGCCATGGCCTCCAAAGAGTTACGCCTGAAGATTCCAGAATAAATAGGACAGAGCCGGGCTGTGGGGATGACAGCTTGGATGGCCCTGGCTGTAACTGAGCTGAGTGTCCCTGAGGCTATCCTAGGGCTAAGAGCAGACTGGAGACCAAGCTTGGGGTATGAGTCTTCCGGATGATTCAGATAGGATGACGGGACCTTGCTAAAAGCTTCTGCTCTCATTGTCCTTGAAAAAGTGTTGCTGTTCAGTATGTTGTAGGGTCTATTGCTTGAGATAAAATTAACAAGGGAAGGGCATTGTGGTGTAGCAGTTAAATCTCCACCTATGACGCCAGCATCCCATAGAGGTACCGGTTCTAGTCTTGACTGCTCCCCTCCCCATCCAGTTCCCTGCTAATGAGCTTAGAAAAGCACTGGAGGATGAACCAGGTGCTTGGGCCCCTGCATCCATGTGTGAGATCCAGGGGACAATCCAGGTTCCTGGCTTTGAACCAATCTGAATTTGGCCATTGTGGCCATTTGAGGAGTGAATCAGTAGATGGAAGATTCTCTTTTTCTTCTCTCTCTCTCCCTCTAAATCTGTCTTTCAAACAAACAAATAAATAAATAAAAATAGATCTTTATTTTCTTGGAATCCCAGCACCTGGGCCCGTGGAGAGTGGGTATTCTTAGAGACTTGGGAACTCAGGCTGCGAGACCTTAGTCAGGTAACCCCACATCCCTGGGACTCAGTTTCCCCATCTGCTAAACAAGCAAAGCAAGCCCAAATCTCAGGGGTTTGGATGGGGAGACTGTGAGATTCATCCATTCCACACCCCATGGATAGCCCAAGCCATGTCCTGGCCCTACAGAAGCCTTGTGGAAAAGCTGTTTCATTCAATCTTTGCTTCCTCTAGTCCATCCAAGTGAGAAGCTTCTGTTCTGGCAGCAGTAAGGCAGCAGTGTGTTCAATCAACATGTTAGTAGCTTGCTGGGGATGCAGGATTGATGTGAAGGAAGAAATGGGTGGGTGGAGAATGGGACCTCCTGTCTTTATGTCCTGTGTCCAGGAATTAACTGAAGAATTATGGGAGTCTCAACCCTAAGTTTCCACCATGCCCCCATAGTATGTAGCTCCAGCAGCTACATGGCACCATACACTTTAAACCAAATGAGCTGAACCAGAGGTCAGGAGTTTATGCCTTAACCTTATTCTGTGTCCCTGGAGCACTCAGCACCAGGTGCATGGTTGGAGAGCCACCCATATCTGCTGGCAAGCTTCACTGAAATGTCCCTGGGACGACCAACGCTCTGCTGATGGCGCAGGAGTATGTCCTGATAGAGTCCATGCCCAGGTCTGCTGGCCTGGCTCATCTCTGGATACCATTCTTCAGGCTGTGGCTCCATCAAGCCTGTCCCACCCAGGCTGGAATCCCCAAAGGCTATCGTGTGACCTGGAGAGGAAGGGATATGGAAGGTTAGAGAAAGCCATGCCTGCCCCAGTCCAGTATATTAGGGATTCCCTAGGATGCGGAGGCCTCTGCCACCAGTCTCATGGTCCATGGCAGCCCAGATGGGGAAAGGGCAGCCCAGTAGGCCATGCAAACCAGCTGGGCCAAGTCCCATTATTGGTTGCATCACAGGAGCTACCCAAGCTGTAAGCACAGCTACAGGTCTTACAGGTAATACCAGACCTATGACATGGTGGCCAACACATCACTCCCCACTATCTTTTACAAATCTGCCTGCTACTTTGCTGTAGGAGAGCAGGAGGCAGAGCCATGGCTCTCCCACCATTTCTCCCTCGACTGCAACCACAAGATGACAGCAGTGCAGCTGGTCAACCACAACACACATGGACGTGTCAATGGTCTTGATAAAACATTAATAACCGCATGTCCTGTGGGGTAAGCAGTTAAGTAGGAACAGAGTAATCTTCTTGGGGACTGTCACAACAGACAGAGCACAGACTGGAGGAAGGGAAGTGTGAACGTGGGGGCCGGTCATCAGGGCAGTGAGGTAGGTGTGAGGGGATGGGCTGGCAGAGGTGGGCAGAATGGCTGCTGGATCCAGAATTCAGGTGGAACCAGCGAGTCCTCCTTCCCCAAGTTACCTGCATCACCTCCTCAACTTTCTGCTTTGATAGACCTGACACTCTGTGAAAGCAAACCACAAGTGGGGACCGTTTGGGCCACAGGTCATATAAGCTTTTTGGAATCATCTGGTCTGTTCTTGCCAAGGCAACTGCAGGAGGGACTCAAAGTTCAACATGTGTGTAGCAGGCTAACTTTGAAGATGCTAATTATATATGGCTGCAGAATGTTGCTATAAATACCCACATGGCCCTGATAGGAAAAAGTATATAGAACATCGAAAATTTGATGACAAGCACATGCTGGTTTTCAAATCCCGAGCCCATGCTCATGGTCCCTACAGCCAGGACAGATCCAGGTCTATAGATCCTACCCAGGGACATTGACCTCCTGGACCTCAGGGCTCCTGTGACCCCTGGTCTGTACCAAGCTAAAGGGCGGGGAAGAGGAACAGTGGAGAAAGTGTGCATTCCCGGTACCTTGGTGGTTTTCACTTTGTGTCCACTGCTACAGCTCCACCCTGACAGGTCAGGGAGCACCTTGCACTCCTCTCCCGGCAGGCAGGGCTCCATGTGACACCACCACCTCTGCAGGACGATGGATGCTGTGGGAGCAGGAGGCAGGGGCACAGCTCTAACTCTGGGAGCACGGGCGGGTGGTCCCGAAGAGGGCCTGCAAGCCAGGTGCCTCTCTCCATGCATGCCTGAGTCCTGCATCTCCTGGTCTTTTTTCCTCCAGGAAGCCCAGAGAGGCAGTCCCAGGCTCAGGCTGAGGCTTGGGAACATGGCCCCCAGCAACTTTAATCCCATGAATCCCAGCCACAGTGAAGGGTGAAGGCAGCAGAGACTGTTTCTAAGGAAACCAGATCATTAGCATAGAGCACAACCTCCAACACGCCCGCTTAAAGTGTGGTTAGCAAGTGTGTGAGCTGTTTGCAGAGGGCCACAGGCTAGCTGTACACAAACGGGCGTGTGAGCAAGGTGGGTATGCTTCCAGGTGGGCGTGTGAACATGCATGGGCAGGGAGGTGAGAAGTGGGTGTGTGTGAAGGAATCGTGTTCTGAAAGGGGCCGGACAGGGCAGAGAACCAGAGAAAGGCGTGTGAAAGAGGCCAGGAAAGGAGTGCTGGGTCTGCCCAGCCCTCTTTGGGCTAATATAGCAGAGAGGGACAGAGAGCCCCAGCAGAGGCACCTGTGTGGAGGAGGTGTGGGAGGCAGGTCAGGTGGAAACGTAGGCACCTGTGGTCTGGCCAGTTGCCGGAGGGAGGGGAGGTGGGGGGTGGGGAGATGTCACAGGGAGAGCGCTTAATATGAGCTCTCCTTATCTGTGACAGGCACTGGTCACTGCTGCCCTCCTCTGCCCCCTATCCCATCACTTGAGACTGTGACCAGGAAAGCCCTGAGAAGGATATGAAATCAGACTCCAGCAGCTGGTGAGGCTGGACCAGACCTCCTTATCTCTGCTCAGGGCCTCCTGTTTCCTGGGTCCCAAGCCCTCACTCACCATCCACACAAGAGGGCTTGGCCCGTGTTGTGCCAGCCACCTGGCCAGACAAGCAAGAGCACTTGACAGTCTGTGAGCGCTCCTCGATGCGGTTCTGGTTGCAGCAGCGGCGGGCAGCAATCACCTCGCAGGTTCCCTGCTCCACGGGGACTGTAGGGGCCAGGCCATGAGGATCAGGGGGCCCTACCTCCCAACTCCCAGCCCTACTGCCCTCCCGCCCACCCTGGTCGTTCCAGAGCCCTTCCTCTCCTATCTAGGTGGGGAAGGGTGGACTCAGAGACTTCCAATGGCAGAGGAGGTCATGTTCGCCCCCCACTTTGACTATGGTTGGGCCTTGGCCAAAGAAAGCTGGAGTCCCCCTGCAGCCCCAGGATCCTGCTTTCTCAGGGTGAGGGCCCCAGGGCTTACAATGCGTAGGGGAGGCTCATCCGCTTACACAGGCTTTAGCCATCACACAAGGAAAACCACAGAATTAGGCCAGGAGGCTAGACTTAAGCCCTCATCCAAGCATTTCTCTCCCCACGGGGCACCTTCCTGCCCGGAAGGAAGTGTAAGCAGTGAGTCCCTCTCTGCTCTCACAGGCCTTATCCAGACCAGGACAGCACAGAGAGGCCGAGAGTCCTGGCAGAGGAACCCAGGGGCAGCCAGAAAGCCTGGAATCAGTGTCTCGAAGATGCGCCTGCTTTGAAACGGGGTGGGCTAGGTGTCTGGCTCTCCAGGTTTCCCGAGGTCTTTCGACCTCCCCCAAACCTGTGGTAGTTGTAGGTTGCAAGGAAGCCAGGGCCAGGCGGGTCCACAGCCAGGCCAGGCACAGTGCCAGCAGCCAGCTGCCAGGGCTCCATTTCCACACCGTTCTCTTGCTCATCCTGCAGACAGAAGCACACACCCCCTGTTCAGTTGCAGGTAGAAGCACTCCCTGGCCCAGCCTTGGGCACCTCCTCTGTGCTATGAACTCCAGGTAGGATGCACACCTCCTCAGACACAGAGTCACTGGAAGGAGAGGGAGAGCCGTGGGGAAGAGGATATATTTTACATGGAGCCTTGAAGGATGCAATAGATGCAGTGCCCTGGAGCACTGTGAAGAATAAAGCAGGTGCTTCCTACTCTGGGAGCACTGAGCCCTCTTGAATCCTTCACAGCTTTGGACAAAGCAGGATGGTTACTGTCTGGCTTATGGCTGAGACCAAGACACATCACAGCCAGCCATCAGTAAAGGCCGGCTAAGTACATCCTAGGGGATCTGAACACTACGGGCCCGTCAGGTCAGCTGGGAAGGTGCACTAGGAAAACATTAGTGCTAAGGTGTGCAGCAATCTTCAAAGACGGTTTGCTGTCATAAAGAGGAACTAGATGGCATGATGGGGTGGATAAAATTTGCATCTGTGTTGTTCCCATATGTATGAACTAGCTCTAGAGGAGGTACACAGACCCTAATGATATTATTTGCCACTAGGAAGGGAAACTGGTTGGCTGGGAGATGGAGGCAGAAGGAAAATTTATTTTTCTTCTAATTGTTTTACCTTTAAAAAACGATTAAGGGAGGGGAGAGCCTATTTCCAACTAAATTGTATCCAAAAAAAAAAAAAAAAAAAGACTAACCCTGTTAAGTAACTGTCTTCTAGTACCTGGAACATGTTATACAGAATTAGACCAGTAGTATAGCAAAAATGACTGGGTGGTTTATAAGTTTTCATGGATAATGATATGGCTTTATGGCTTTCTTTATGTAAACCTGATGTTCTAATGTGTATCTGAGCAGTTTGTGAAGAAGTGAGTTCATTTTTTCTCCTCTAACTCCTATTCTATATTTTGTACATCCGTGAGTTGTATGTTTTTTTTTCTACAATGAGCATAACTCACATTTGGAATAATAAAAAAGCTATAAAATGGAAAAAAAATGATTAAGGGGAGCAGTGTTGTGGTGCAGCACACTAAACCACCACTTGCGAGGCTGGCATCCCATATGGGAGTGCTGCTCCGAGGCCTGGCTACTCTGCAACCCTGAGGAGGTCTCTGGGAGGGCAACCGATGACAGGCCAAGTACCTGCGCCCCTGGCACCCATGCAGGGAAAAGCAGGATGGAGTCCATGGCTCCCTTCTTCAAGGTGACCCAGACCTAGCTCTGAGGGTATTTGAGGGAGTGAACCAGTGGATGAAAGATCTCACTCTCTCTGGCTCTTCCTCGCTCTCTGCCTTTCAAATAAATAATAAAATCTTCTTTAAAAATTAATTTGGTTCCTTTTTATTTGCTTGAGAGGCAGAGTGAGAGAATTCCTTTCTGCCAGTGCTCTCCCAAATGCCCACAGCCCCTAGCATGGAGCCAAGAGCCAGGACTTCAGTTCAGGTCTCCACATAAGCAGCGGGGACCCACCTGTTGGAGCCTTCAACTCCAGGGTCTACACTGGCAGGAATCTGGAGTCAGCATTCAGAGTCAAGCGTTGAATCCAAGTACTCAGAGAAGGGATATGGGCATCTTAACCCTTAGACTGAAGAGCCTAAATGGTTAGACCTAATCTTTTTCTCAATAAAATTGTGTTTATTGGGCCTGACATGATAGCATAGTGGCTATCCTCACTTTTGCATGCCTGGGATCCCATATGGGTCCCAGTTCTAATCTCAGCTATTCCACTTCCCATCCAGCTCCCTGCTTGTGGCCTGGGAAAGCAGTCAAGGACAGCCCAAAGCGTTGGAACCCTGAACCCACATGGGAAACCCGGGAGAAACTCCTGACCCCTGGCTTTGGATTGGCTCAACTCTGGTCATTGCGGCCACTTGGGGCGTGAACCAATGGATGAAAGATCTTTCCCTCTGTCTCTCCTTCTTTCTGCATATCTGCCTTTCCAATGAAATGTTTTTAAAATTATTTTAAAAATCATTTATTCATGCAGTTATTCATCTGAAAGGCAGAGGAGCAGATTCAGAGATCTCCAACTACCGGTTTGTACCCAAATTGCCTGTAAGAAATGGGACTGGGCCAGGCTGAAACCAGGAGCCAGGAGCTCCCTGTGGGTCAGGGATTTGATTACTTGAGCTGTTATCGCTGCCTCTCAGGTCTGCACTGGTAGGAAGCTAGAGTCAGAAGCTGGAGCCCAGAACTAAACTCAGGCACTGTGACGTGGGAAGTGGACACCTTAACTGCGGGTTAAATGACCACTCCACCCCTGCTTTAAGTCCTCTGCTGCTTTTTCAGGTGAATATCAGGAACTGGATGAGGAGCAGAGCAACTGGGTCTTGAACTGGTGCTCAGATAGGATGTTAGTGTCATAGTTAATCTACTGAGCCACAACGCTGCCTCCTCACCCCCGCTCCCCTGCCAAGTTTTATTATCTTTTGAGGTCTAACATGGGAATATAATAGTGATTCAACCTAAACAAAATCAAAATTTAAAAAAAAAATGAAGCGTAGGCTAATCAAGGTCAATTGAATCGCCCAGGAATGGATGACAGCATGGCAGTAGAAGGGTCTGAATCTGCCCACAGCAGTGCCGACTTCCACTCTCCCTCCTTTGCTTTCCACTCCCAGTCGCTGAGGGGGCAGTCACAGCAGGGGATGGGAGAAGCCCTGGGGGGCAGCAGGGTCACCAGCTCAGAGGTAGGCAGAGCCACCACCTCTACTGCTCTGTGAGCCGCACAGGTGCCAGCCCAGTTCCAGGACTAGCAAGGGTCAAACCCAAGGCCCAGTCCCAGCTCCTCCCTAGGCTGCGGAGCTTGGGCCACGCCCACAGCCCACATCTCATCTTCAAGTGTTGTTTGACTCACCTCTTCTGGGATCGCTCAGCTTCTGTGTTCATCCACTGGTGTATGACTCGCTGCACCAGGACAAATAGGCAAGATTTTTGAGAGACTGCGAGAGACACAGAGAGCCCCAGCCTCTGCAAAGGGATGGAGAACCTAGAAGAGAGAGTGAGTGGGCTGGCCACAGAAGCACAGCCAGTTCCAAAGCTGTCCCACCTACCTGCCAGGGCAAGGAGCAGAGTCCTCTCCCCCAACACACACACACACACACACACACACACACACACACACACACACTCCCTCGCCTGGAGCCTGGAGGATGAGGAGCCAGAGAACAGCGGCAGGCACTGTGGCCATCCCAGGGTGGAGCAGAGATGATGGAGGCTCTGGGAATCAGTCCTGCCACATCCCCAGCCTTGGGAGGGAGCTGAACCTGTGAGGGGTCCTAAGCAGGTTCCTCCGAAGAAGCCCCTCAGAGAGATGCCCGAGTCCCCCATCTCCTATCCCGTTCCCCAACCCTGACTCAACCCCATCATCCTCACCCCAAGCCTACAGCGAGTGAATGAGCCGCTCCCTGACTTGCCGCCAAGATTATGGCTCCCCAAAGCTTCTCTGTTCTCTCCTCTCTCTCCCTCCCAGCCCCACGGGAAGTGAGCCTGAAACACAGAGGCTGGTGGGGGCCAGGAAGGACAGAGGACCCTGTGTGTCAGCCCCCGCGGAGCTAGGGCCAGAGGGCTCCACCAGCACAGGTGGAGGAAGTGGCCCTGGTTCTGGGAGGGAGCGCCCCAGGGGCCAGCCTCCTCACCTATTCTGGCCTCCTTTTCTAAGTTAGTATTTCCTCTCCCTACTCCTCACCCCCTCCTCACCTCATCCCCCAGAACTCCAACTTTGCCTTGTTCCAAGTGATCCTAATTCCTCCAACATCCTTCAATCCAGTCTACCCAAATCTCCTATGAACTCCGAGGTCCAGGAGCCTCAGGGTTGGGCGGAACACTGGGTCCCAGGTCTCTGGCACTCTTGCCCTTTTCTCCGAGACAGCCAAAGAATCTGATTTTCTAAGATTTGTTTCCGGTGCCCATGCGCCTGCCTCAGTTTCCCGTCCAGCCGGTGGTGAGGCTGAGTTGTGAACCCACATACACAAAAGCCTTCCACCTTTCCCTGCCCTCTGCAGCCCATCCCCAGCGCACCTGCCTCATCCTCCCTCCAAATCTTGCGATCCCTGCCCCCCAACACACACACAAGCACAAGGGGGAACCTACTTGCACTGCACCCACGTCCTCTGGGACCTGGAGTCCGACCGGCAGACTCCAGCTGGGAGCCGCTGACCCTGGGAGCCCCGTCCCCTCCTGAGCGAGCGGCTGCGCCCCAGACGGCGGGTCTCAGACGTCAGCTCCGGGCCGTCCCCGCCAGCTCCTTATTGCTCAGCCGGGTCCTCTGCGAAGCCCCCGCTGGCCGGCCGGCGAGCGCGCAGCTGCAGCCGCTGCCCGCGCCACCTCGCCCGGGGCCGCCCCCGCTCCGCCCGGGAGCTCCGCAGGGCGACGGGCACGGCCGGGAGGCAGCGGCCCCTGGCGGCCAAGGGCACGAGGAGGGGCGCGAGGACCTCGAGCGCCGGCGGGTTCCGGCTCCATGGGCGGCTCTGGAGGTCCTTCAAAGCCCTCCACGCCTCGAGGTCCGGCTCGCGTGACCCAGGGGAGGCAGGAGGTGCCGCGATTGCGAAGGGGATAGGAAGAGGACGAGAGGTGATTGGTCAGGCCTTCGGGGTTTTTCAGTTTTAATAGGAGCCTGTAACTGCACAGCCCGGTGCAGTAGCCACTAGTTCACGCTGTTAGATGGCATCGCTAACACTCGAAACTCAGTTCCTCATCAGCACGCGCTCGGCTTCAGGTGCTCAATGGCCTCGTGAGGCCGCGCAGGACAGAGCAGCTACTGGGCAGGCCTATCAGTGGGCATAATTCTTTGAACAACACTTCCAGGTTGGCCTTTCAGGAGGATAGAAGAATCCCAATCCCAGGTGTGGGGCTGTAACTGGAGTGTGGGATGGGTGAGGCCGCCACGGAAACGCGGGCCGAGGGTCTGAAGCTGTCTGCTGTTTGAGCTTGTGTTTCAGAGGAGTCCCAGGAAAAGGTAACTTGTAATGCTGCACTCAGCAGGGGGCAGACCTGCTCACCCGCTCAAGGAACAGTGCAGCGAACCGGACCGAACCAGTTTAGAACACAGCAGTGTGTGAGGAGGATGGCTGTGGCTGCAGCAGGAGAGTCCTCCATCCTGACGCAGCCCGCCACCCCAGCCTGGCACGCACCTGCCCTCCACCCACAGCTTGGCTGTACAAAACCTAGTACCTAGGATGCCAGGCTATAGGACTGCAGTCAGCTGGTGTCCGAGCCCTATGTGTAACCTCACCTGTGCAATGACCCCTGGGCGTGAATCTCACTTTGGAAGTCAAATCTGAGCCAGTTAATCAGAAAACTTGCAGAATGTGTACTTCAAAAAGTTCATAAATATGACTATTAGGAATACCTATAGCTAGATTTTCTTTTTTTTTCATTTAGGGAAACTTTTTGAGAAGGGCAGAGGGTGCAGAGAGAGCAAGGGGAACTTTGATCTGCTGGCTGATTTTCCAAACACTTGGGACAACCCCATCTGGGCCTGTCCAAAGCCAGGAGCCAGGAACTTCGGCTGGGTCCCCCATGCGGATGGCAGGAGCCCATGTACTTGAGTCACCATTCACTGACTCCCAGGAAGTTGGATTGGAAGCCCTGGCAATAGCCAGAACTCAAGCTGGCAGTCAACAGATTAACCCACTGTGCCACAATTCCTATCCCCAAATAAATGTCTTTAAAAAATTATTCATTCTATGGGCCTGACGGCATGGCCTAGCAGCTAAAGTCCTCACCTTGAACATGCCAGGATCCCAAATGGGTGCTGGTTCTAATCCCGGCAGCTCCACTTCCCATCCAGCTGCCTGCTTGTGGCCTGGGAAAGCAGTTGAGGATGGCCCAAAGCTTTGGGACTCTGCACCCGTGTGGGAGACCCAGGAGAAGTTCCTGGCTCCAGGCTTCAGATTGGCTCAGCTTTAGCTGTTGTGAGCACTTGGGGAATGAATCATTGGACGGAAGATCTTCCTGTGTCTCCTCCTCTCTGTATATCTGACTTTCCAATAAATAAATAAATCTTTAAAAAAATTATTCTGTCTAAACTCAGAGATAGACTAACAAAGAGAAAAAGACTGACAGAGAAGAATCTGTCTGCTGATTTACTCCCCAGTGCATGCACTAGTCGGAGCAGGATCAGGCAGAAACCAGAGCCCTCAGGCCAGGTTTCCCGGATGAGTGGTGGGGACCAACTACTTGAGCCTCCCAGGATCTGCACTAACAGGCGGCTGGGATTAGAGTGGAGCCGGTACTGAAGCTCCTGTCCTCTGATGTAGGTAATTCAAGCAGAATCTCCACCTTTGGATACCTGCTCCCTGAATTTTCAGTGAGCTCCTATGATTCCCTAAATTTTTGGAAGCACCTCTTACGGAAATGCGATTGCAGAAATCTTTACTGGGTTGTATTTTTCACATGAAAGTAGTAGACACATTTGGGGCAGAGGTAACCTTTGGGTTTAAGGGAACATTCGGGGTTGGAGTATCATGGAAGGGGAGGGGCAAGGAGGTGTAGAGGCCTCCCTCTGGGGGGTGGGGAGAAGGGGGCTGTCTTGAGCTGCCCGGGCAGGCTCCTCCCCAGCAGTCTGAGCAGAGAAACACATCTTCCACCCACTCCACCCTCCCTCCCCTCCTGGAGGAGGAGAACAGGTAATGACTTCTCACCCGGTCCAGGACAGTCTCGGGATGCAGAAGGTGTGATGGTGCCACAGGAGGTGGTCAGGGCAGAACTTTCTGCTTTGGGCATGGCTGGGGGAAGCAGGCTTGGCCTTCTCGCTGATGGGCACTGAGAGAGCCCCCGGGGCCCTGCCAAGAGCAGGGATTAGGGAGCTGGGTGAGACTGGAGGTGGTCTGTCAACTGCCCCCAAAACACATAAACATAGGCACAACCGCAAATTTCATTTTTGTTTTATTTTCTTGTGTGCTACTTTTGTCGCTGCCACCACGCGATTCCTTTGAGGGCTGCGCTGGTTCGCCAGGGAGACAAACCATCAGCTGGCGATCATCAGCCAGCCAGCGTGCTCTCTGTCCCAGGTGCGCTTTGTGCCTCAGGCTGTGTTGTTTGACTCTCTTAAATTCCTTTTTCCCTGGCTCTGTCGCTTGCTCAAACCTCAGGCATAATTATAGCCAGCCAATCTGAACAGCCATTGTGGGTTTTGCTTTTGGAAACTGCCAGGAAAGCCAAACCCGTTGTTTGGACACTCTAGCCCGGGATATGGCCAGGAAGCCCCTGGGTGGAAAGAGCCAGTGGCTCCTGGTGGCTCACCCCAACGTGCCCAGGGACCTTGTGCCCCACTTGAGCTCCGGTGTGTGTTGGGGGAGGGAGGAGCCGGGAAGGTAGGGAGGACCCACAGGTAGCCAGCCGGGCAGGGTCTCCCAGAGAGCTGGGCTGCCTTCGCCAGCCAAGCGTTTAGCCTGGTCTCTGTCTCCTCCTGGCGGCAGCCTCAGAACTTATTCGGCGTCCCTGAGGGGGGCTGCTTGGGGGGGAGGAACCCCGACTTTCATCACCCAATCGCCCGATTTCTGAGACTTCCCGCCCGACGCAGTGAGGTCAGATGGAGCCAGGTTGGGCGTGGGGAGGTGGACATGGATGTGACGCCCTCCTGGAGGTGACCTCCTGGGGGTAAGTCACTCACATGACCGGAGCAGCGGAGGGCAGTGGTGACAGCACCAGGAGCGGCGGCCGTGCAGTGAGCGTGACCCAGTGTGCGGGCGCGCTTGGCAGAAGCCTCCATGAGTTGTCGCTGCGGTGGCATCAGTATTTGTACTAACTAGTCCTGCCCTGGTCAGGGTAGTGGGGTGGGAGTGGCAACCACTCCACCAGACCTAGAGCTGGTCTGGAAGGGACAGTGCGCCATCAGCGCCCCCACCCCACCCCGCATCTTCTCCTGGCTCTCCTTGCAGCAGCCTCAGACGGAGGTACGGTCACACCAGGTGCTTCACAAGTCATCGGCTCCGCTGCCACTGTGAACTAAGCCAGGAGACCGACCCTCCCCGAACCGCCTCCCCCGCCCCGCCCAGACGCCCCGTCACAATGGGGAAGTTCCACCTGCGATCTAACCCACAACAAAGCTTACACAAGGTTTCCCCTGCTCACCCACTTCCCGTAGCAACAAAGTCCACTTCCCCTAAGAAAGCTGACTTGGAGCGAGCAAGAATGCGGCGGCTGGGAAGCAGCCTGGAGCCGGAGGGGCGGTTCCCGGGGCGGCGCAGGGCCCGGGGAGGTGGCGCGCGGCCCTGGCCAGGCCCGCCCGGGTCCAGCGGCCAGGCAGGCGGGCAGGCGGCGTCGAGCTCCACCCCGCGCTCGGGGGCGGGGCGGGCGCGCGGCGGGGCCGGCGCTGGGCGGGGCAGGCGGCAGCATGCTAAACCGGGTGCGCTCGGCCGTGGCGCACCTGGTGAGCCCCAAGTCACCGGACCCGCCTGGTGAGACCACGGCGCCGCCCACCGCCTTTGCAGAAACACCCAGGAGTCCTTCGGTGAAGAGCGGGGCGCCTGCCAAGACCGGGGAGACTCGAGCGAGCTTCTCCAGACCGACCTTTCTGCAGCTGAGCCCCGGGGGGCTGCGCCGTGCAGATGACCACGCGGGCCGGGCTGTGCAAAGCCCTCCGGACACGGGCCGCCGCCTGCCCTGGAGCACGGGCTACGCCGAGTGAGCGCCCCCAGGGCACCCAAACCCAGATGGGACTCCCAGCCCCTTTCCTGGCCAGGCACCCTTGGCCCTGGGGTGCGTTTCCCCTGCCGCGCCGCGCCCCGGGACCAGGTGCCTTCCCTCGTCCCAGGACCGTTCCTGTCCACTTGAGCCTCGGGCCGCATCCCCCCTCCAGTCCGCTCTCCAGCCGGGTGCAGCCGAAGTGCCTTCTCCAGGACCTGGCCAATTCCCCGACCACCCTTACCCTCTCGGCCCTAGACCCCGGACCACTTTCCCAGTCTCAGAGGGCACGGGGCCGCTGAGGATGAGTTGGCCAGTTCTCAGCCGCGGCTCGGCCCTTTAGGACCTGGGAGGAGGGCGGAAGCACCGAGCGGCTCCTGACGGTCGGGGACTCTCGGCTGGGAAGACTTGCTCGTCAGCTTGCCAGCCTCAGCGCCCCAGTTCTCTGTCCTCTCACCGAACCCTTCCCCCTCCACACCCAGAAATAGCTCGCGACACCGGGAGGCCGCCGGCTGCCTTGGGGCGGGGGCGGGGCCCGGCGGTGCGGCTGGAGGGGTCCTAGTTGGACGCCCCCCGGCCTCCGACAGGTGCCAGTCAGTACGGAAAGCGACCCCCGTGGCTGCAGTGCCCACCTTACTGCCGGGTTGCGGGGGTCTTTAATGCATCTGCCAGGAAGGGGGAGCCTTGAGGCTGACTGGGGTGGGGGGGCACTGAGGTCGTTGAGGGAGGTGGCTGGGCTGCTGGCACGCACCATCCATCTCCTGTAGCCTCCTGGGGAGGGAGTTTGTGAGGGATTCTGTGTCTCCTGCCTAGTCCAGGTGGGCTTCCACGCCTGCTCAGCTTTTATTCCCCTCTTCGGGTCACCCGCTCGAGCAATTTCTTCGTTGCCAGATCTACAGAAACTTTCCCGGGTGGTTTAACATGAAAGTGGGTGTGCCCAGGATGAGGCGCCTGGGACAGTTCACTGGGCTGGGGGTGCGACATAGGCATTTGGCCGTCAGCGAAGGAATACTTGTGTTTCCACCTGCTCTCCCCAAACACCTAGGAGCTGCACCATTGGGGGTGCCTCCTTTGCAGGGGGGGCGGGGGAGGGTACTGAGGCAGGCCAGTGCTGCTGCCCGGCTGGCAGGGGGGAGGCGGGAGGACCTGCCATCCAGACAGTAGTCCTTGCCCTCCTTCCTCTGGCCTGCATCCCAGGTGGCCGTGACCTTTTTCCGGCTTGGCCAGCAGGCAGAAGATGTGTGCGTCTGCGGAGGGGGGCGGTTATTCCAGGACCTGGCCTGGCATCCTCCCTGATGTGCACTCTCTCTCTGGCCTGGCAGGGTCATCAACGCTGGCAAGAGCCGGCACAACGAGGACCAGGCTTGCTGTGAAGTGGTGTATGTGGAAGGTCGGAGGAGTGTGGCTGGGGTCCCCAAAGAGCCTAGGAGAGGCCAGGTGAGCCCCCGCCCTGTCTCCTATCCTTCCGGGGAACTATGGGAACACCTCTCCCGGGATGTTCCATCCGAGACCTGCCTCCCAACCCTCCTGGTCTGTCCCTTTGGCTTGAGTCCCTGTCAGTGTGAATGTTGACTTTTCCACTATCTGCTTATGTTTGTGGATGCCTGGGTTGGTCTGCAGTGCTGATTTGGGACAACTCTGTTCATCCTCTGAGCTCAGCTTTCTGGAGCACTTCCTGTTTTTTGGAGAATGAGTCTGGTTTGCCTCTCCATCGAGCTGTGAGCTCCACGATGTGGGTTCAGATGCCTGGTCTTCTTGTTCTTCACTCTCTCCCACCTCCTTCTGCTCCACCAGGGACTGTGCTTCTACTACTGGGGCCTCTTTGATGGCCATGCGGGGGGCGGAGCTGCTGAAATGGCCTCGCGGCTCCTGCACCGGCACGTCAGGGAGCAGCTGAAGGACCTCGTAGATATACTTCAGGACCCCTCACCACCTCCACTCTGCCTCTCACCCACTCCGGGGACACCAGGTTCCCCCAATCCTTCTCAGCTAGTTGGGCCTCAGTCCTGCTGCTCTCCACAGAAGGAAGTGACCCATGAGAGCCTGGTCGTGGGGGCCATCGAGAATGCCTTCCGGCTCATGGTGAGTGGGCGGCCCTATGGGCTGCTGGGCCTGTGGGTGAGACCCTGAGACCCCAAGTTCTACCCACTTGTCCTTCTTGTCCTCCACTGTGCTCTGGTGGGGCCTGGTGACTTCTGTAGATGGAAGGGTGGAAGGGGGGTGGTGGCTGGGTTGCTGGACCCTCCTCTTCCACTTCCCTTAGACCTTTCCCTGTGTGCAGGACGAGCAGATGGCCCGGGAGTGGCATGGCCAGCAAGTGGAAGGAGGCTGCTGCGCGTTGGTTGTGGTCTACCTGTTAGGCAAGGTGTATGTGGCCAATGCAGGTGACAGCAGGTATGGGAGAGGGCAGCGTGCTCTGGGGAGGGGGAATATAAAAAAGTGAGGTGGGAGAGGTCCAACCCAGATTGGAGGGAGTCAGGGTGGGGCTGGGAGCAGAAGGAAAGGCCAGAAGTCTGGGTGAGGCAGCCTCCTGGTTATTCCAGGGAGAGCCTGCTCTTTCTGGAAGTCTCCCCCAAGGGCCCAAAGGCAGCCAGACCACAGCTCTCTCTTCTCTGGGCAGGGCCATCATTGTCCGGAATGGTGAAGTCATTCCCATGTCCCGGGAGTTCACCCCGGAGACCGAGCGCCAGCGACTTCAGCTGCTGGTGAGCAGGACCCACACCTCCTGGTGCCTTTGTCGGGCTGGTGTCACTCTGCACCGGGGCTCCCCGCTCTCCTGCACAGACACACAAAGCTGTTCCCTGGGAGGGCCAGGCTCTAGACCCTGGAGAGCTAAAGCCAGCTGCTGCCTGATGCTGCAGGAAGGAACCTAGGCTGGTCCCATACTCCCTCCTCCCATGGGCCAGCCGAGGAAGGAAGTGGAGTCAGAGGTGGGGGAGCGAGCAGCCAAGGCCCTTGGAGAGCAGGAGGGCTTCTTGTGTAAAGGTGAGTCCTGGCTGGTGGAGGCTGCTTGCTAATCGTGCGACCTTGAACAATCTCCTCGGCCTCTCTACACATCAGTGCTTCCTCATGGGTTGCTGTGGGGACTAAATGAGTTCCTGCAGCAGTAGAAGGTGCGGGCACGTGGCACACTCTATTTCAGGGCCTGCTATAATTAACCGGGTCTCTAGACCAGGTATGCCTGATACGCCCTGACCCTCTGCACTGTTTGGCCATTTCCCATCTTCAGGGCTTCCTGAAACCAGAGCTGCTGGGTGGGGAATTCACCCACCTCGAGTTTCCTCGCAGAGTTCTGCCCAAGGAGCTCGGCCAGAGGATGCTGTACCGGGACCAGAACATGACTGGCTGGTAACGCATCCCTCCCTGTTCCCATGACAACACAAAGCCACACCCAGTAGGGAGGGATGGGGGGAAGCCAGAGCCTGGAAGTTGGGATGGGACAGGGGGTGTGGTCCTTGCTTGCTCCCAGGGGAAGCAGGCCTTCATCCCTGGGTGATGCCTCCTCTCCCCGCCTCTCCCTCTCTCTTCAGGGCCTACAAAAAGATCGAGCTGGAGGATCTCAAGTTTCCTCTAGTCTGTGGGGAGGGCAAAAAGGTGAAGTGTGAGGTAGAGGTGGGCGAGGGCAGGAGGCAGAGGCCTGTCCTGAGGGAAGGGCTGGGAAAGGCCCAGAGATGGCTGACAGTACAGCAGCTCCCCACCTCATTCCCTTCAGGCCCGGGTGATGGCCACCATCGGGGTGACCCGAGGCTTGGGAGACCACAACCTGAGGGTCTGCAGTTCCACCCTGCCCATCAAGCCCTTCCTCTCCTGCTTCCCGGAGGTGAGCTGTGGCCACATGGTTAAGGCCTACCCTCTCTTTGGCAGCTCAAGCAGACTTTGGCTCACGGTCCCCTTTATCCTTCAGGCTCCTTGTCCACCAAGCCGCCCCCACCCCAGCGCAGCCCCCTCTTACCCTCTTTGCCCACCAGGTACAAGTGTATGACCTGACACAGTATGAACACTGCCCGGATGATGTGCTCATCCTGGGAACAGATGGCCTGTGGGATGTCACCAACGACAGTGAGGTTGCCGCCACTGTTGACAAGGTGCTGTCCGCCTATGAGCCTAATGACCCCAGCAGGTGAGCCCAGCAGGTGACCCCAGCACGGTGTGGTGGTGAGGGGAGGCCATGCTTGGGTACCCACCCACCTGGGAGCCTGTGTGTTTCCTTTGCCTCTGCGTCTGGCACATGAACACACACATGTGTTCCTGGCAGGTACACAGCTCTGGCCCAAGCTCTGGTCCTGGGGGCCCGGGGCACCCCCCGGGACCGTGGCTGGCGACTGCCCAACAACAAGCTGGGTTCTGGGGATGACATCTCCGTCTTCGTCATCCCCCTGGGAGGGCCCGGCAGTTACTCCTGAAGGGCTCAGCCTCAGCTTCCCCTGCCATCATAGAGCGGCCCCTCTCTTCTCACCCCTCTCCGGACCCCAGATTCTGCTGAGCTCGCTCTGTCCCAAGGGTGGTGGTCTGCTCCATCTAGAATGACCACTATTGGTAAATAAACCAGTAGACTCACAGCACGTGTCTTTGTTTGCTTTGACTGGATGTGGAAACCCAAGGAAAACCCCAGAAGAGTCCTACTGTTTTGTTTCCCTCTGCCCTCTGCTCTCGCAGGCCACCCCCTCACCTGAGCGTCCTCATCCGCTTCATTGACTCCATCCTGCCAAAGGCTGTTGTCCCCAGCTCAGGCTCTCCCTGAGCTGGAAGCCACACATAATCCCAGTTGTCCCCTGCACGTCTCAACATACAGAGACGGAATTCATCATTTCCGCCTTCAGACACAGAGGTTCCTTCTCCTGTTTTAGCTTCTCAGCTCATACTGAAGTTACAAAACAGAACTGGTTCTCCTGGGTTTTCATTTCTCCCTCCTTGTGCTACAAGATACAGCCATGCACTGTGCAGTCAACAGAACTGTGTATATGATGGCATAGACCAGACAGCCTGGGCACATAATAGGGCATTCCATCCAGGTTTGCGAAAGTGCGTGCAATTGCGGCATTCTGAAATGATCCATTCTGCAGAATGTGCCCCTGTTGTTGAGTGACTCATGGCTGTATTGTTGATTACGGTTTTTTTTTTTTAAACATTCCTATTTGTCCACGTATCTCTATTCCCACTTGTCAGCACTTTAGGTCTTTTTTTATCTGTCTCCCTAGTGGCTTCTTAACTGCCTTCAGGGCAGAATTGATGTGTGTGTCATAGGAGGACTTCACGGGTCTGACCACTGTTCCTTCTCCAGCTGCATCTTCCACAAATGCCACATGAGCTTTCTGTGGGTCTCTCGTAGCTCTAATTTGTTTCTTCAATTTCTTTTTTTCTTTTTTTAAGATTTATTTATTTTTATTGGAAAGTCAGATATACAGAGAGAAGGAGAGACAGAAAGGAAGATCTTCCATCTGATGGTTTACTCTCCAAGCACTACAACGGCTGGAGCTGAGCTGATCCAAAGCCAGGAGCTTCTTCCAGCTCTCCCACATGGGTGCAACATCCCAAAGGCTTTGGGCCGTCCTCGGTTGCTTTCCTAAGCCACAAGCAGGGAGCTGGATGAGAAGTGGTACAGTTGAGATTAGAACTGGCACCCATATGGGATCCTGGTGCATACAAGACGAGGACTTTAGCTGCTATGCTATTGTGCCAGACCCGAGTTTCTTAAATTTCTAAAAAATACCTGTTTGAGGGGCTCATTCAGTGGTTCAACAGGCCAATATACCACCTGTCAGCACCAGCATTCCATGTGGGTCCTGGTTTGTGTCCCGGCTGCTCCACTGCCCATCTAGCTTGTGGATTGGGAAGGCAGAGGAGAATGGCTCAAGTCCCTGGGCCCCTGTCTCCATCTGGGGGACCCAGAAGAGACTTCTGGCCTCATATGAGCTCAGCTCCAGTCATTGTGGCATGTCGGGAGTTGACCTGCAGATGCAGGATCTCTCTGTAAATTTGACTTTCAAATAAAAATAAATGAATGTTAAAACAAAACAAAACTGTTTGAAGAGGAGAATGACAGATTTCCCCACAATGGCCACAACAGCTGGGACTGGGCCAGGAGTCCAGAGTTCTATCCAGATATCCAGGTGGCTGGCAAGGGGCTCAGGTACTTAGGTCATTCTCCATTGCTTTCCCAGGCACATCAGCAGGCAGCTAGATCAGAAGCTGAGCAGCCGGAACTCAATTTGGTGCTCAGATAGGCGATGTGGCATTGCAGGCAGTGGTTTAGCTTACTATGCCACAATACTGGCCCTTGTTACTCGAAGTTTAGATACCTCCTAATCGTGAACACATCTCCTGTCCTTGAGGATCGTGTGTCCCACAGTCTGTGTGTACCTTCTTCTCAGGCATTACCTCCTGGATTACAGCTGTATTAGGAGTCAGGACAAAATAGCATTTAAGAGCAGGGGCTCCAAAGTGCCGCTGTTTGGGCTCTGTTTGGTGTAGGGGCCAGCACTAGTGCTGCCATCCTTGTGAGCTTCCATTTCCTACCCAGTGAAGTAGAGAAAATACTGCTGCCCCAGGATCCCATGGGACTCCAGTCGCCTGGTCTGGGTCCTGCGGCCCACCAGCAAGGTGGTTTGTGGAACCCCGGTGGTGAGAGATCCAACAGGGGTCAGGCCGCCTGCCCCAGGTCTGTTGGCCCACCTGCATGGTGGGTGCCGGGTTTGTGAGTCCTGGGGGCGTGGGATTGGTGGGGCTCAGGTCACCTGACCCTGGTCCTTGGGCCTGCCTGCGAGTTAAAAAGGTGGAGCAGTGGACACAGACCCTGATGCGCATGGAGAATATGGCAGCCCATTTGGTACCATAGCAGAGGAAGAACAGAGCAAATTGGACAACTATCCCAGCAAACGATGACAGCAAGAATCTGGGTGAATGGAGACTTGAGGTCGGCTATGTCAGCCAATCAATGGACACTGGGAGGTCTGCCTCACCGTTGGATCAGTGAAACCAATAGCATTTTAGAACCACTTGTTCAGAACTCTCAGAACATGCACCATACAGGACCCTGGGTTGATATTGGGGTGAGGGCTCCCCATCCGTGAATACTGGGACGTTTGGGAGGCTGGATGTGACTTCTCCCTTTATCTTTCCCCTTCACTCAATATCAAGAAGAAAAAAAAAATTGGAAAAAATGAAAAAAAAAGTTAATTTCTTCAAACAAAAAATGCTGCTGCCCCCTCATTAGGTTGCTGTAAGGTCCAAGGTAGTTCAAGTTCATGTAGACAGACCCAGGTCTTTGTGATAAGAGTTCTATAAATGTTAGCTAGCTGGAAATTATATTTCTCTTAGGCTGTAAGGGGCTCTCTGCACTCATAATGAATGATTATTGAACAGAGACGTGACCAGGCTTAGGACCTGTCCCCACGTTTCTCGCATGTGACTTGTGCTTCAGATATTTTTAAAAAGATTTATTTTTATTGGAAAGTCAGATATAGAGAGGAGGAGAGACAGGAAGATCTTCCATCTTTTGATTCACTCTCTTAGTGGCTGCAACAGCCAAAGCTGAGCTGATCCGAAGCCAGGAGCCAGGAGCCTTTTCCAGGTCTCCCACACGGGTGTAGAGTCCCAAGGCTTTGGGCGGTCTTCGACTGCTTTCCCAGGCCACGAGCAAGGAGTTGGGTGGGAGGCAGGGCTGCCAGGATTGGAACCGGTGCCCATATAGGATCCTGGTGTGTTCAAGGAAGGACTTTAGCTGCTGTGCTAGGCTACCACGCTGGGCTCCAGATTTTTTAAAAAAAAAAAAAAAAACGATCTATTTATTTAAAAGGTATAGTCACAAAGAGCGCCTCCATCTGCTGGTTCTCTCTTCAGATGGTCAGCACAGCCAGATTAGGGCCAGGGGGAAGCCAGGAAATCAGGAACTTCCAAGTCTCCTGCCAGGTTGGGGCGGGGGGAAGTGAGGACTTACAGAGAGGTCTAGGCATTTGGGCCATCCTCAGATGCTCTCCCATGAGGATTAGCAGGGGACCGGATCAGCCTAGACTCCAACCTATGCTCACATGGGATGCCAGAGCTGCAGGCCACAGCTTCATCTTCTGCAGCACAGTACTTTGCATCTTGAAGAAAGTCAGTACTAGTAGTCCTGGCATGGTGGCCTAGTGGCTAAAGTCCTCGCCTTGACTGCACCGGGACCCAATATGGGCACTGGTTTGTATCCTGGTGGTCCTGCTTCCTACCCAGCTCCTGCTTGTGGCCTGGGAAAGCAGTCGAGGATGGTCCAAAGCCTTGGGACCCTGCAACCACTAAGAGACCCAGAAGAAGCTCCTGGCTCCTGGCTTTAGATTGGCTCAGCTTTGGCTGTTGTGGGCACTTGGGGAGTGAATCATTGGATGGAAGATCTTCCTCTCTGTCTCTCCACCTCTCTGTATATCTGATTTTGCATTAAAAATAAAATAAATCTTTAATAACTAAATAACTAAATCTTTTAAAAAAGTCTACCACTGGGTCTGGCACAGTAGCCTAGTGGCTGAAGTCCTCACCTTGCACATGCCAGGATCTCATATGGGTACTAGTTCATGTCCTGGCTGCTCCACTTCCCATCCAGCTTGCTGTTTGTGGCCTGGGAAAGCAGTTGAAGATCTTAGAACCACGTGGGAGACCCAGAAGAGGTTCCAGTTCTGGCTGCTGTGGCCATATGGGGAGTGAACCAGTGGACAGAGGATCTTGCTCTGTCTCTACTCCTCTCTCTATATCTGAATTTCCAATTAAAATCTTTTTTTAAAAGAAGTAGGTACCACTTTTAATGTTCATTCATTCAGGAAATATTTGGTGAAGCCCTACTAAGTGCCACAAACAGCCACACATGGGAGTGTGAGAAGGGGCAGGAGAAAAGTCCAGAATGGCCCCATGAATTTTTGCGGGTACATTTCTGTACGCCACTTTTTCTGAGATGCAGTTTGCATACACACACCCCAGAGAGCAGTAATGAGTGTCAAAAGTTGAGCCCGTCGTGTCCCCATCACAAGCTAACAGAAAGGTTGAAGGATTTCTTTCCTCGTGCACCGGCCTGCCCACAGGGCGACCTTACCAGATAAACACTGCAAGCCGCAGAGAGGCCTAACGGTTCCTAGCCATCTGGAAAAAATACCACAGGAGTAGGAACTGAATTTTGCACCTGGGATTCCGGAAGCATTTGCGGGTGTGACTTTGGTGGAGTAGGCAGGAATTGAACCTATGGAATCGCATGCATGGAAGTGGAACGGAGGTCTGGCTGAGGGATGGCAAGGGACTCTCGGGCCCAGGATGGGCGCCCTGGGGCCGCCCTTGCCCAGCCACGCCTCCCCGAGCCCAGGTCTCAGGTGCTGCAGGAGCCGGCGCCCGGCTGGCCACCGGAGGGCAGCAGCGGCCCTGCCTGACCGCACCCCGAGCGCCTCTCAACTTTCCCGACGCCGGTCCGCCGCAGGGGCTGGCCGCGGGGGGCTGCGGCGGGGTCCTCGGGGGTCCCGCTGCTTCGCTCGCCGCCCACCTCTCTGCAAGCGGAGCCTCTGCCGGCGGCTTTGCCCCGCTGCCCCCCGACTGCCCCGGAGCCCGGACCTCGAGCGGCGGGCGCCGGGGCCGGAGGCGGGCCGAGCGCTGGGGCCGCCCCCGGACCGACCCTCCCCTGCCGGCCCGCCCCTCTCCTCCCCTCGGCGGCGCTCGAGGAGGGCGGGGCGGGCGCCCTCGGGTCAGTCTCGGCCTCCGGCACCGGCCGCGCAGCTGGAGGCGGCGGAGCGGAAGGTACCCGGGGCCGGGGCGGCGGGGCGTCTGGGGGACTCGCCCCCGGAGAGCACTCTCTCTCCCTTCCCCGCGTCCGGAGCTTGGGGCGCGGTCGGCCAGGGGCTTTGGCCCGAGCGTGGGCCTGGTTGCCTCCCTTCGGACGCAGCGGCGTCCGGGGTGGAGCGGGGCTGGAGGGGGTCGGCCTGGGTCGGCCCCTGCCCGGGCTTGCGGCGAAGGGCGCCGAGTGTCGCCCGGCTTGCGCTCTCGCCTCTCGGGGCGTCGGAACCCCCAGCCTTCCCCTTGCCCAGCTCGCGAACCTGCCTCGCCGGGCCTGGGGCGAAGGGGGCGGCTTGGAGCCCCGTGGGGGCGCCCTGGCCCCGGGCGGCTGGATCTGGGTCGGACGCCGGTGGGAAGGGGGTAATGGCGGGAATAGGGCCCGGGCGTGAGCCAGTGGGGGTAGCTGCCCCTGCGCTCGGGGTCGGGACGCCGCCCTGGACGGCTCCTGGAGTTGGCCGGTGGCTGGAGGCAGGGCTGGGTCGGGAGGGCTCGGGCAGTGTGGATGGGAATCTCCCCTCCCTCCCTCTCCCGAACTTTGGTTGGCAAGTTGGGGGGCAGGAGGTGGACGGGGTGCCGCTGGGGAGGTCCCCGCGATGTTGAGGGGATGCTGAGGCCAGAGGATGGCTGTTCCCAGCATCATATCTTGAGAGCGTGGGAGGAACCCCGCTGGTCTCCCCGTGCCTCCTCTGCTGGGTTCCATTCCTTGCTCAGAGAGGGTGCTCACTCACCTCTCTTGGGGTTAGTGGGGCAGTTCCTCTGGGGCTGCCTCCCGCAGGGAGCTTGCTGTCCACTGGCCATGCCCTCTTGGCGTTGGGCCTAGTGGCCTGGCCTAGCTTGGGCCTGCAGGCTCTTCTGCCCCAGCCAAGTCCGGGCTGCGAGTCTTCTCACTGAGCAGCAGGCAGGGTTTCCACTCCTTGTGGGTTGTTCCAGCCCCCAGGTTCCGGCTTCAGCTTCCCCCACTTCACAATCTAACAGCAGCAGAGTGCCTGGAATTCACAGTGCAGTGTGCCAGGCTCCTTCGTCACTGGTCCTGCAGGGTGCCAGGGGCTGGGGGATTTGTGTAAATGTTCTGTGATTCATGATCTATTCCTTCCCATGATAGCTTTGTTAGTGTGTGTGTGTGTGGTGAGAGGAGGTGGGTGGGGGGTGTGCTAGGATCCCACCTCGGGCTGCAGTCCTGGCTTCCCTGGGGCAGGCCAGGGCAGGGGTGGGGACAGTCTGTGGGCAGGATGTGGGAGTGAGGGAAAAAGCCTGGTTTGGGGTTAGAGATCAGGTTACTGGCCCCTTCTTAACTGCTCCCTGCCCAGCTGGCTGCTGCTTGGACGGGCCCTCATTTGTTCGCTTCTATTGGGGCTCCTCCCAGCCTGGGGCCCCAGCCCTCACCCCCCTTCCCAACAGGCGGCCTTCTTCCTTGTGGCTCCTGTTCCTGGGAAGCCCGCCTTCTCTTCCTCCCAGGCCCACTAGGGCCTGGGAACTTGAGCTGGCTCTCTCCCCAGGAAGGAGGAAGTGAGGGGAGCTGGGAAGGTGTGATGAGCTGTACAGATGCTCGTTGGTGTGTGGGACACACACAGACGGGGAGACACCGGCCTGCTGGCCTTGAGTCACAGGGGAGGGGTGGGCAGGGCCTTGCAGTGAGCCACACGGACTGTGGGACTGCCCGTCGGACTGCCCGTCGGACTGCCCGCGGAGGCAGGCAGGGGCTGTCCGGAGAGTGGGTGGTGGTGATTCCCTGGTGGGTTTGATTCTCCGTCACTTACTCTGCTGTGGTGAATGTGTGGCTGCCGACAGTGTGGTCATTGTCCCCTGCCAGGGCTGAGTGACCCAGTGTTGCTGCCAGGCCTGGGAGCAAAGGGGGGTGGGGGAAGGCAGACTGCCCAGACGCGAGCTCTGGGCTGCCGGGGACTGAGACGCCTTTGTGTAGCTCGGGGCTTGGGGGGACTGGGTGTGGTGGACCAGGGCCTCTGCTGCTGCGGGTGTTGGCTGCCGCCGATGTCCCCCCTCCCCATCTCCTCTATCTGGGGTTTCTTGCTCCTCTGGATTGATGCCCAGTTGGGGTCCCACAGTGCTGCTCTGAGCGGCTGTTCCTGTGCACGGGATGCTGCAGAGCTGACTTGGCTGGAGGGAGCCTTGGTTTCCCAACTTGTCGCATTTTGAAGCCACCATCTGCGCCCTAGGTGTCTGAGGCTGCCAAGGAGGCCACCTGTTGTGAGAATGCCCAACCCAGGGCCTGGCACCCAAGGGGATCTGTCAGTCTGTCCCTTACCCAGGTAGATACCACCTGGCAGCGCTTCTGCTGGTGTGGGGCCTTGGAAAAGGATTCTTTAACCTGTTTATTGTTGGCAGGAATGGTGGCCTGGCCGAGGGGCTGTATGTTCTAGATTGGAACTCTGTGATTATAAAACTTTAAAGACATCAAAATCCTGGTAGCTCATGAAGCCCAACTTGAAGAACTGCAATAAAATGAAGATAAAAGCAGTTCTTAAAAAAATTATTTTTATTAGAAAGTCATATATACAGACAGGAAGAGAGACTTGGAGGAAGATCTTCCGTCCAATGATTCACTGCCCAAGTGAGCGCAACGGCCGGAGCTGAGCTGACCCGAAGCTGGGAGCCAGGAGCTTCTTCCAGGTCTCCCATGCAGGTGCAGGGCTCCAAGGCTTTGGGCCATCCTTGACTACTTTCCCCGGCCACAAGCAGGGAGCTGGATGGGAAGTAAAGCTGCTGGGATTAGAACCGGCGCCCATATGGGATCCCAGGCATGTACAAGGGCAAGGACTTTAGCCACTAGGCTACTGCACTGGGTGCTAGAAGCAGCTCTTATGGGCAGGTCCTTGAATACCTGTTTCCCAGAAGTATTTTTTTTTTTCTAGTTTAAGATTTATTTAAAAGCCAGAATTATAGACAGAGAGGGTCTTCTATCCACTAGTTTACTCCCTAAATGGCTGTAATGGCCAGAGCTGAGCAGATCCAAAGCCGGGAGCTTCCAGGACTGAGCCAACCTCTGCTGCTTTCCCAGGCCATAAGCAGGGAGCTGGATTGGAAGTGGAGCATTTGGAATTAGCACTGGAGCCAATATGGGATGCCGGTGCCCAGGTGGTAGATTGGCCTGTTGGGCCACCGTGCCACCCCTCCCAGGGTGGGGTTCTTGAGCCCACCTCCCACTGCTGTGTTCTGCCCTCTCGGGGAGACCTGGTCCCAATCCAGGATGGCCTTCGGGCTCTGCTGCCCACACAGTTGGTTCTTGACAAGAACATGCCTGGGCAAGCCCCTCTCCCTGCTCCCTTGCTGAGTGCCCTCGTTTCCAGGGAGGTGCCTATAGAGGGGCTCCTAGACTTGCTGGCTTTTTTTTTTTCAAACCCTTACTGCCTCTTATTGCCTCTCAGCCCCGGCCATGGCGGCGATCCGGAAGAAGCTGGTGATCGTGGGGGATGGGGCCTGTGGAAAGACCTGCCTCCTCATCGTCTTCAGCAAGGACCAGTTTCCAGAGGTCTACGTCCCCACCGTCTTTGAGAACTACATCGCTGACATCGAGGTGGACGGCAAGCAGGTGATGGCGCAAAGTCCTGTCCCCACTCACTCAGGACCTATTGTGTCTTTCCTCACTAGATACAGTGAAAGCTGTCATGGACAATCTGGAGACCCCTGAGTCCCCCACAGAATCTGGGCCAGGTCCTTTAGTTTCTGGTTTTTATGCTCCCTGGTCACCCCAAGTGGTGTTGATGGTTAAGACATAAAACACCCTCCCCTGCGCACCCCCCCAAAAAAAGGGTTACTGTACAACTAACATAAAACCACTCAGATTGGCCACTCCTGAACTACACAAAGGTCATACATGTCTTAAATCTTAAAAAAAAAAAGCTTTCTTCGTTTATGCTGTAGTAGACCTGGCATCTCGCAGGGGCTCAGTGGGAAGGCAGATGTTCAGTGTTTCTGAAGGAATGGAGAGGCTGTCTGGGGGGGGGCAGAGCTGGGGCTCTCTGGCTGGCTGTTCACTGGCTTGTGTGGCAGGTGGAGCTGGCTCTATGGGATACAGCTGGACAGGAAGACTATGATCGCCTGCGGCCTCTCTCCTACCCTGACACGGACGTCATCCTCATGTGCTTCTCCATCGACAGCCCCGACAGCCTAGGTGAGGGCAGTGGGGGGAGGGGACTGACACCCCTGGGAATTAGTGGTCCCTCTGGCCCTTTTGAGGGCCTGGGGAGCGTGTATTCAGGGAGGGGGATATGAGATATGAAAAGGACTGTGATGCTGATGGCCTGTGGGGGCACCTATTGGAACATGTCTGTGCAGAAAACATTCCTGAGAAGTGGACCCCGGAGGTGAAGCACTTCTGTCCCAATGTGCCCATCATCCTCGTGGGGAATAAGAAGGACCTGAGACAGGATGAGCACACCAGGCGAGAGCTGGCCAAGATGAAGCAGGTGGGTGGGCTCTCGGCTGCCGGTGGGGAGGGAGCGCTCCGCTGAGAAAGAGGGGAGCTTTCTCTTAGCTCATTGCGCTGTTAAGGCAGGACGGTGCTGCATGCCTCCTAGCCTCAGGTGTACCTGACAGCATGTGTGAAGGGACGTGTCCATTTGACATTTTGAGTGCAGTTTACTGTCCGTTCTGTCGTTGGAATTGGGTTTATGAAGATGCGTGTAAGACGAGATGCTTTTGCTTCTGGGCTTAAGCCCTACTGGTCTCCAATTGATGCTGTCCAGGAGAAATAACTTCTGATGTTCCCCTTAAGGGTGCTGTAGTGTCAGCAGAGAACACCTGGGCAGGTATCGACTGGCAAGGATGAAGTGGCTGGGACGAAGGCCCAGGGGGCAGGCGGCTCATTTATGCAGGCACCTGTTACGTGACTTTCTAACCAGAGGACTACTGCTTAGGGAGTGTGGACTCCGTTTAAACTGGGTGCTGAAGTCTGGCTTACTTGTTTGACATTGGAAACTCAAGAGGATGCTGCTCAAGAGGATGGATTGGAGAAAAGTGAACAGAGGCAGAGAACTTGGTTAGGAGGTGGCTGGTTCATACTCTCAGCAGCACATGCCCACTGGGGGATAGGCTGGGATGGCAGAATATAGAACACTGGAGAATTCTGAATGTAAACCTGAGTCTTTGGTTTTTGGCTGGGTGGCCAGGGCTGGGTGCTTTGTAGGGTCAGTGCTGAAGGGGACATTGTTCCAGTTCCCACACCCAAGGGGTCAGGGCATTCAGCCATGGGTTTCCTTTGAACATCACTTTCTTCCTGTCTTTCCAGGAGCCTGTTCGGTCCGAAGAAGGCCGGGACATGGCGAATCGCATCAGCGCCTTTGGCTACCTCGAGTGCTCAGCTAAGACCAAGGAGGGGGTGCGGGAGGTCTTCGAGATGGCCACTCGTGCTGGCCTGCAGGTCCGCAAGAACAAGCGCCGGAAGGGCTGTCCCATTCTCTGAAATCCCCTCCACCTTCCCCTTAGGCCTCCCCCGCTTGCCTTTCCTCCCCTCACCCCTCACCCTCCTGGAACTCCCATTGCTGAAGGCTCCCGTCTCAGATCCTTCTGCCCAGGACTGCATCTAAAGTTGCCCCACCACCAGGTGGCCATGAGAGGCCTTCCCTCCCAGCCTGCTGGGAACACAGGCCTGCCTGTGCCTGTCCTTCTCTGGGCGGAGTGCCTCCTGCTCCCGCTGCTGTGCCACCTTGTCCAAGGAACTGCTGCCTTTGGCCTTCTTCAGAGGACGGTCACACACCAGCACTTTAGACACTTCTGGCTCCCAGGAATGTGTCTGGGGGAGAGAAATGGGATTTCTGCTTGGGTCAGGGGCCTCATCTCGTACTTGGGGAGGGGCATGAATAAAAGGCCACAGGCTTCAATGTGTGTATAGCAACTTCCTGTCTCTCTCCCTTACTTGGTCCCTGCTTGGCTCCATGTCCCATCCTTTTTTTTTTTTTCTTTCTTTTTCAAGTGTCTTGCCCCAGTCATCCCGCAAAGGCAGGACTTAGGAGTGCAGGGTGGAGTCTCTGAGCAAAGGATGAGGTCATACCTGGCTCTGGGCCTGGAAGGCCGGTAAGGGGAGTGGTCCAGCCTGGGCTAAAGTTAGAAACCTGTGGGTGGCTTCCCGACCCACTAGGTTTCCTCTGGAGGTGTGGGGGCAGGGAGGGGTGTGGCACTAAGCAGGGTGTAACAGTCTCACTGGGTCCTAGAAGGTCAGCCTAGGGGCTTGGAAACCTAGGCCCTCCCCTCCAACCCCCCCCCACACACCCAGACCCCCACCACCAGGCAGAGCTTAGGAAGACACTGGAGGCTTTTGCATAGAACAAAATCTTGTTATCAGAGTTTTTCTCCCTCTCCTGCTTCCCCCCTCCCCAACCAATAGCAGCTTGCTGTGTCATTCTCCCCCAGCAGGGGAGGGGGTGAGAGGGCTTGGCTTGTAAACTGCCACCCCCACACCCCTGGCCTGCCTGTCCCTTGGAGGGGCAGCTTGGCTGGGTTCTGGTTCAGGCAGGGTTCTCAGTTCGGGGCCGGGCAGGAGGTTAAGGCTTGGCTGGTGTGAGAAGGCAGGCTGCTGTGTTCTCAGAGCTCATTCCTCCACTCTGGCTCGACTTGCAGGGATAGGCCCCCTTCGCTCTCCCGCTCCTGGGGGAGACAGTCGTGAACATGAGGCCCTAGAATGAGAGGCGGTGTGCTTTGCCTTCCTTACCTCCTCCGCCTGCAATCGTCCCCTAACCTGGCCCACCCCGGTCCAAGCCGTACCTGAGGTAGAGGGGCTGAGCTTGCTCAGACCTTGGAGTAAGTTCTGTCCTTGCTGCAGGTCCAGTTTGGCAGGAAAGGGGCACCCAGTGTACCCCCCGTTTTCTTTACAGAACTCCAGGAATCTGTGGGGTACAGGGATGTTTGCACCCAGGAGCCTCTGAAGGCTCGGCCTCGCTCCTGCCACATGGGCCTACAATCTCTTAGCCTGTAGTGGCAGTTAACTCATAAGTAGGACTGGGGGGGGGGTGTCGTGAAGACAAACATGTCTGACACTAACTCAGCCCTAAGCAGGTGCTTAGTGATGTTCACCTGTCCGGGGTTGGGGGCTGCGGCTGCCCAGAAGGGGTAAGTGGGGGGGACAATGCTCACGCTTTCCAGTCGGGGTCATGGCCCAGGAGAAGGGGGTTGCCCACTATGATGAGCAAGGCTTTGGCCCGGGTCACAGCTACGTTGAATCTCTGGAAGGAAAAATAGGGAGGGTGGGGTCATGGAAGGGAAGAGCCCCCCTGGAGGAAAGAAAACCTGCTGCCCACCAGCCCCTTAACCTTGGGGTTCTTGAGAAAACCCAGATTAAAGTCCAGATCCAGCTGCACGAAGCTCTGGCTGCTGCGCACGGTGGAGATGAGGATGACACTGCGTTCCTGACCTTGGAATTCTTCCACGGAGCCCACCTGGAGGAGAGAGGCAGGGCCTGAGACAGGGCGTGGCCAAGGGGGAGGTTGAGTTGTGAGCCAAGTGTAGATGAATGAAGACAGAGGCCTATGAAAGCAGGAATTGCAGGTGGACCCCAGGGAAGGGGTAGGAGTGGGCTGGGACAGCAAACGGCACTGCAAAGACCAGGAAACTGGGAGCAGCCAGTATCCCTGGAGGTATTCGCGAAGAATACTCAGCCCTGGGGACTCCTGCTCAGAATTCCCCAGGGAGAGGCCTCCAGCCAGTTACAACAGTCATATTCCACAGTGACATTGCTCAAGGAGCTATAAAAGAATACCAAGGCCCTGACTCTGCCCTCAGATAGCTGTGCACTGGGTGGGGCCCTGGCAGTGTGCAAAGCTCCCCAGGTGATTGGTACCTGCAGCTGGCATGCAGACCTGTCGCCTGAGAGGAAGAGTCAGACTACTGAGGGTGTGGGAGAGGGTGGGCTGCAGTGTGGACTTCATCTTCAGGACGGGGGCCTCATCCCTTCCTTGGGTGTCGCTGATCCCATGAGTTGGGATCTCCAAGAGCAAGAGGTATAGTGAACCCCAGTTCTATCTCAAGGCAGTGGGTGGGTGGGGGCTGGACAAGAGCAGCAGGGGCAAAGAGTGCAAGGTGCAGAGTACACAGGTGCCAGCTCGGAGGGGGTGGATGTGGAACAGCCAAGTTGTTACCTTTAAGTCCTTGATGTCATCCAGTCCCCGAAGCTCCCTGTCCAGTTTAGTGATGCAGTACCGGATCTTTTCCACCTGCAAAGAAGGGACAGGTACAGCTGCTTCTTTCCCAGCATGATCCCTGTGCCTAGGAGCCAGTCAGGAGGCAGCAGAGGCTGGAGTGCCTGGTATCAGAGCCTGCTGGCTTGGCTGCGCAGAAGACACCACTGGAGCCTCACCTGCTTCCGGTATGGGGAGATGACGCCCACACTGCGGGGGCTTAGGCGGGCTTTACCCTTCTTGGAAGAGGGGGCCAGCAGCAGTTTCAGATAGGAAGTCACTGTGGCGGCCTCTTCAGGATTGAAGAAGGATGGGCTGTTGCCTTCACGCTCATCCTTGCCCATGATGCCATGAAAGATGATAGGAAAGCCCTGGATGTGGTCAGGGGGACACTTGAGCTAGGCTGCCTTCTCCTCTTCTGTGCACCCCTAATCTCTGCCAGGCAAGAAGGGGGTCTCGGGGCCAAGGTGACACAAAAAGAGGCCCTGAGTGTGCACCCAGACCCTCCTTTTGCCTTGCTGAGGGTACTACAAGAGTGGGAGCCCAAGCCCCCTGCCCTGGGCACCCGCACCTGCCGAGGGAGACCCTCCCAGCGGCAAAAGCGCTCTCGGTCCACCACGTCTGCGCAGGCCTGCAGCTCCCCATCATAATACAGCCGGTTAGGGATGTCCAGGATGGTGGGGTGGGACCTGGGAGGCAGGAGGGGAAGGGAAAAGAAGGGTATGATCAAGGGCGAGACTGCTTCTGCCCCACCCCCAGGGACCCTGCTCTGAGTGCGCCCTCCCCACACTACAGGACACATCCAGATTTGATGTCTGCCGCCAGCCACTGCACACCACAGAAAGGGAGCCACACGTGGTGCCAGACAGCATCTCATCCAGGAGTGTCAAGGACAAAATTAAAAAAAAAAAATTCCTCAGTCTAAGAGGCAACAATAGCTAACATTTACTGAATTTTTAGTGACAGCCTAGAATTCACCTAAGCATTACAAATATATAATTTGCTTTACTTGAAAGAGGAAGGGCCAGTAGGTTAACCTGTTACTTAATGGGCACCAGAGCCAGTCTCAGCTGCTCCGCTTTCAATCCAGCTTGCCACTACTCTGCCTGGGAAAGTGGCAGAGGATGCCCCAAACTACATGCTGTTCCAGGCTCCTGGGTTCAACTTGGCAGGTATTTGAGGAGTGAACAAGCAGATCGAAGAACTCACTCTCTGTTAGCTCTGCCTTTCAACTACATAAAACCCTGACCAAACAAAAACACACATACACAAAAGGAAACAGAAAGGAGAGAGGAAGAGACACCTCCCATCCATTGGTTCACTCTTTAAATACCCATTAGGCCAGGACAGAGTCGGGAGCCAGAAACTCCATTTGGGTCTCCTGTTCACATGGCTGATAGGAACCCAAGCACTTGAGTTATCATTTGGGTGTGTATTAGCAGGAAGCTGGCATGCAGAATGGAGCTGGGGAATTGAACTCAGGCACTTTTGATATGGAATCCAGACATCCTAAGCGGTGACTCAACCACTGTACCCAAGACCCAACTCTCTGCATTTTGGATGTCTGGATCCATCCACTAGAACAAGAGCACAGCTCTCTAAGCTGCGTTAGAGTAGGCTGATGAAAAACTGGACTCTTACTCTCCTGGTATTTCTGATTTCTGCCCAGATTACTTGGTAACTTCATCTGGGACCTGCAACAAACACTGGTCAACCCCTAATATACAGAGAAGCCAACTGGCCAGGGGTGAGATCACTTGCTAAGTCAGAGACCACTGGGAGCAGTGGTGGGACAAGGCCTTGCTTCTCCCAAGGTAAAGTCCTGCTACATCACACCTTGGGTTGACAGGGCTGTGGGTTCCAGCCTCTGGCAGGGAGGAAAACTGCAAGAAGGATGGGAAGAGACAAGGTGAGAACGCAGGGGGGCCATACCTGTAGTTGCGCAGCAGTTTGGTTATGAACTGGGGGTCATAGCCCTCAGGACCCTTCTTGTACAGGTTGTTGTAGGTGAGTAGGCGTTCTAGCAGGGAGTACCCCAGCCCATGCTTCTGGGCCAGTGGGGACCGCAGCACGGGCCCCAGCTGACGGGGGTCTCCTGCCAGCACCAGCTGCCCTCCTGGATTGCCTGTTTCCTTGACTTCCATCAGCCCTGGCAGGCAAGAGTGGTGTGGGAGGAAAGGGAAAGCAGTGAGGGCCTCTCCAACCCCAGGCTGGATGGGGGCCCTCCTTGCAAGCCCACCCTGTACCCTTACCTGCTATGGCCACCAGACTTTCAGGCTCCATGCAGTGGCCAGCCTCATCGATGAAGATGTGTGTGAAGTGACCGATGGGAAACTGGGCCGAGACCAGCCTGGGAGGTGTCAGGTGGGTCACATGGAGCACATGACAGCCAGACCTCAATGCTCAGTCAGGCCGGCCTCTCATCCCCAGCCCTACATTTATACACACTCCCCACCTGCTGGCCGTGATGAGCGTAGTAATTAAAACCCGGTATTCCTGTAGCTTCTTCTTGGCAGGAAACACATACTCTCCCTTCTTGGCATCCCAGTTACAGCAGGGCTGTGGGTTGTGGGCCAAGAAGAATCAGCAGGGCTCTACCTACCCTCCTCATCCCACTGGCTCTGGGCCCCTAGTTTTAACACGCCCTCACTTTGTGGATGAGGAGACATGAGAGGCTCACAGAGGGGTCCTGATCCACCTAAGCTCACATAACAAACTTGGAATCCAAGGTTTTCCATCCCAGTGTCTGCCCTGAGAGCTGCCTGCCCCCCAACCTCCATCAGTGCCACCTCCCTGCGGCCATCCCTCAGTCCTTCAATCCCCACTTCCTTAGACACCTTGATGTCCTCGGGCACCATGCAGATGTCTCTGCTTGGGGCCAGGAGGCGGTAGACGGAGCTGGGCAGGTGGGCCCGGAGCCGCTGACAGAGGAGGTCAGCCCCTGAGTTGGACGGAGCACAGGCCAGGATGTGGGCTTCCGGCAGGTGCTTCGCCACCTATGGTGCAGAAAAGTGGTGTGGGAGGTGGCATCCAAAGACCTCAGTGGTGACTCAGACTAGGGCTGTGATGACACAAAAGGCCTGTTCCGATCTCCTGGCCCTTGCTGATCCCGACAGCACCTTAAATGCTGGACAGCTATTGCTGTCCATGTAAAAGCCATGATAACCAAAACGTGAGTGCTGACTGTGCCCAACAGACAACAGTGCCCAATATCCAAGCTGACCCAACTTTTGACGTGCCATACTGATGGTTGTTCAGAGAACAGATGCATTTGGAGACGAGGAAAGCAGCATCTGAGGAAGGCTGCTTATTTCTACACAAGTCCAGCCTCACCTGCTTTATGGCCTCCACTAAGGTCACAGTCTTGCCAGTGCCTGGAGGTCCAAAGATGATGTAGGGGGCTGGCCGGGCAATGCCCCTCACAATGTGCTTCATGGCCTGTAGCTGCTCGGGGTTGGACTCCAGACTCCGGTCATACAGCCTGCCAGAGGTATGGGAACAAGACTGTGAACCTGAAGTCTTCTGGTTTCATTCCCTCCCGCCTCCCGGCTCCTGTGGCCCCAGTCTCACTTGAGCTTCACATCCGGGGGCAACAGCGGGATGCCCCGGGAGGCCACAGGGAAGAGCATGGGCCACAGCAGCCAGCGCCCTGTCAGCTCCAGGGCACGGTGCTGGACCCGTAGGGGCTGGCGGTTGAAAGTGAAGTTCACCTTGAAGGTCAGCCCATCCACAAAGCGGCTCAGCAGGCTTTGGGCAAGGGGAGAGAAGGGGAAGAGCTGCATTGTATATGTGTGCTGGGGTAGAGGGGAGGGAAAGCAGTCTAAGATGGGACCCTGTGTGTCTCAAGGACAGCCAGCTGCCCAGCACCTTGGACTCCAGCCCTCCCAACTCCCTGGAAGAAAACCCTCCCACCCTGTGCCCTCTCACAAGGACACCTGGAGACTGCTCTGTCCCTATCGCCCACCTTACAGGAAAACTCAGCTTGACCCGGTCCAGCTCCACCTTGTGCACAAAGCCCTTGTAGGTGATGGGGTCCTGCTGCTGGGTCTCGGAGGACAAGAGAGCGAACAGGTGGTCACCTCGCAGCACTGAAGGACGGCTCTCAGCCACGCCTGGAACCTATAGGTGGGAACACAGCAATCTTCTGACCTGGGGCTCTCCAGCTGCCTGGCAGATGCTGACAAGGGCTCCAGCCTTCTGAGCCAAGGCAAGGAGCTGGCTATGCCATCCCAGCACCCCATTTTCCTTGTCCACGGGATAGGGCAAAAGCCAGGGAAAGGAGAAAGAGACAAATCTTCCTTAAAGCAGAATTGCAGTGCCTGATTCCAGGACCTGGCAGCTGGTTTCCCAGAACGCCCAACTGCCCACCTCACTCTTGACCAAGATTTTTTCCTCCTCAACCTTGAAAATCTTGTTCAAAACTCCCAGCCTGTGCAAGCCTTTCCTGATCCTACTCACCCTCTCCCTTTCCACCAGTATCTGTGGGCAGAAAATCCTTTCTCATGGGAGACTTGGGGCTGATGTGACATGCTCAAACCTGAGAGCCAGGAAGGGCTCCAAGATCTAGGAAAGGCTCCAAGAAGTATCCAGTTTTGGGGCTGGTGCCATGGCGCAAATGTGCACTACCACTGCCTGCAGTGCTGACATCCCATATGGGCACCAGTTCCAGTCCTGGTTGATTGACTTTTGATCTGCATTCCAGCTAATCTGCCTGGGAAAGCAGTAGAGGACAATCCAAGAGCCTGGAGACCCCCTTCCACCACGTGGGAGACCTCAGAGAGGCTTCTGGCTTCTTGGGGAGTGGGCCAGTGAGTGGAAAAACCTCTGCCTCTCAGGTAAATAAATAAATTCTAAAAGAAGAAAAAAAAGAAAGAAAGAAAAAGGAAAAAACAAACATCTAGTCCAATTCTTTCAGAGAAGTGAACTTAAGGCTCAGCAAAAGTAAGGGTGTGTGGGGCTGGTGTGGTGGTGTGGCAAACTGGGCCTGTGCCAGGAGCACCAGCATTCCATAAACGCACCAGTTCATGCCCTGGCTGCTCCACTTCCCATCCAACTTCTTGCTTATGGCCTGGGAAATCAGCAGAATATGGTCAAAGTGCTTGGGGTCCTGCCACTCACACTGGAGACCTAGAGGAAGCTCCTGGGTTTGGATCAGCCCTGGTGCACCCATTAGGGCCATTTAAGGAGGGAACCCCTGGATGGAAATATCTCTCTATGACTGCCTTTCCAATTAAAAACAACAACAGCAAAAAAATTCATAAACAAAACAAAAAACCACAACCCCTAGGCGTCCCTGTAGGTCACGCAGCTGGAGGCAGCAGAGTTGGGTTAACATCTGTGTCTTCCCCACCACCCTGCTCTGCTCCTTGGTGCATGGGCCCTGCTCCTGCTCTGGCCTTGCTCTCAGCAACACTGGGCCAGCCACCGGGAGTCCACCCTCCCCACACTGGCACCGATCCCAACCTCCAGCGTGAGCAGCCTGGGGTTCTTATCCACAGGATCCCAGGTCATGGGCACCGAGTCCAGGTCATAGTGGCGGATGTCATGCTCCATCTGCAGCTCCTCCAGGTGCAGCAGCAGCCGCAGCTTCACCTCATAGTTCCTCCACTTCAAGGCTGACTCCAGCTGTGCCCTGGTGGTGGGGACAGGAATAGGATGGGTTAGGGCAGCCATTCTCTCCTCTGTAGCTCTGGAAGGATGGAAGCACTAGGAAGCAGGGGAGACCAGAAAGGCAGGGAGATGCGAGGGGGCTGGAAGCCTGGAGGCTGGAAGTCATGACTCCTGTTGTCCTGTATGCCCCCGCCTGGCTCAGCATCTGCATTGTGGCTTGCTGGCCAGAATATTCTTCACCCAAGATCCTCTCCAGTGTGACTCACACCCTCATCTCCTCCAAGAGGCCAGAACCAGCTACACTCTGCAACACAGCACTAGCCTGTTCCCTCATCCTGCTTTAATTCTGGTTTAGTATCACTTTAAGTCTTCATAGCACTCAAGACATGACACAGTAGGAGAAACTTTCTTTTTTCTTTTTTTTGAATTTAAGAGATTGTTGGGCCAATGTCCTAGCAAATAGTGTTAGGCTGCTGGCTGAAACATAGCCATGCCATATGAGCACTGGTTTGCGTTCCAACTGCTCTGCTTCTAATCCAATTCCCTGCTAATGTGCCTGGGAAAGCAACAGAGCATGGCCCATGTGCTTGCACTCATAGAGACCTGGATGGAATTTCACGTTCCTGGCTTCAGTCTAGTCCACCCTTGGCTGTTGTGGCCATTAGGGGAGGAAAGCAGCAGAAGGAAGATCTTCTGACTCTCTCGATCTCTTAGTAATTCTACTTTTCAAACAAACAAAACTTTTTTTAGAAAAAAAAAAGCTTAAGAAATTGTGAGATAAACACTGTCTCCCACAGACTGGGCAAGACCTCTTCTGACTGGTTCACCTGGAACAATGCCTGGCAAATGGTGTGTGCTTAGTGAGACATTCTCGCGAGGACAGAGGCTTCAGGGCAGAGGGCGGTGGGCTGTGCAGGGCACGGGGCGGGACTTACTTGATCTCAGCGACTTCCTTTGGGGCAGTGAAGACGCTGGTTCCCTGAAGAAGGATGGGGAGCAGCTGCCTGAGGCGAGGTGGTGGGTAGTACGTCCCCAGGGCCAAGCTCAGCTCCAGCTCGTAGCCCTTAGCCCTGCAGGAGTTGGGGAGAAAAGCCAACATGGGTCAGCAGTTGGCGCAGTGGGTTAAAGCCCAGTGTGTTGAAGCCACCACTTAAGATGCCCTCACATCCCATACTGGGTGTGCTTGGGTTTGAATCCCAGCTCTGGGCTCCATTCCAGCTTCCTGCTAATGCACACCCTGGAAGCAGCAGGTGATGGCTCAAGTACTTGGATCCCTGCCATCTACAAGGGCCACTCAGATGAAGTCCTAGGCTCCTGGTTTTATCCGTGGCTTACTTTGGGTCATTGTAGGCATTTGGGGGAACGCACCAGTGCATTGGAGATCTCTGTCTTTCAAATCCCTTTTGAAAAAAGCTACCAGAAATGACTGTGAATGTGTCTCTAGCAGCAGGGGGATATCCCTCATACTGGAATACTCCCCTCTCCACCCCCCACCAAGGGGCATAGCTCAGTGACACTGGGTGTGCTTACTGTTGGGCTGGACCACTCCCATTAGGGGGACACTCATACAAGTAACACATGCTCATTAACGACAACTGGACGGCAGGCAGCAAGAAATAAATGAGAGGCCTACTCTCCAGGGATAACTAACACTAACTTTTTGGTGTAAAACCTTCCAGACTTCTGTCTTTGTAAATCTATATATATGTCTATATCTATATATCTACGTCATTAACAAAAAGAGCATTAAGCTACTGCTCTCAGTGCCAGCATCCCATAGCGGAGTGCTGATTTGGAGTCTGGGCTGCTCTGCTTCTGATCCAATTTCCTGCTCATGTTCTTGAGAAGGCAGCTGAAGAGGGCCCAGGTACTTGGTTCCCTGCCACTCAAATAAGACCAGGATGGAACTCCTGGCTTCAGCCTGGTCCAGCCTTGGCTATTGTGGGCATCTGGGGAGTGAACTAGTGGATAGTAGATTTTTGTCTCTCCTTCTCTCTGTAAATCTGCCTTTCCAGTAAAAATAAATAAATCTTTTTTAAAAAATGAGTAGAGTGATGTGTACGGTGAGCTCCCTGACAACTGGTAACCCAGGGAAAATTCTTCACGGTCCTCAGCTCTGCTGCTGGCCTGCAAAGTGCTCTGCTTTTCTGACCTACCACAGAAAAGCGCCCTCGGGCCCAGAGGTGTGGACAAGCTGCAGTGGGGAGAGGGGCTGTGATCAGGGCACCTGCAGCCCGGCATGGCCAGGAGTGGGGTAGGGGTGAGTCAGTTACCGGTCAGGTCTCTCTCCTTCCTCTATCCGGTTGGTCAGCACAGGATTTCCAGTAATCCGGGTCCGCTGGAAGGGAGCCGAGGGCTTGAGTTGTGCAGCCAGGGGGCTGTGGGCCACAGCAGCCAAGAAGCGGGCTATGTAGAAAGTACCAGCTCCTTCCGAACCTGACTCGCCGGGCCCCAGCAGCTCCCAGAGCACCGTGGCTGGGAAGTAGCCCACAAAGTTGGTCTTACAGTGGATGTGGAGTTCATAGCATTCACCTGGATGAGAATGGTGGTGTGAAGAGGACAGGAGGTACCTGCCCCCAGACAGCCCTGGCCCGAGGCAGGAACAACCCAATGGACAGGAACAATGACTGTGGGCAGGGACAGGAGAGCGTGCTTTCCAGAGCACTGGCCCTGCCTCTCCCTGCTCACCAAGAGCTCTTCCCTTGGCAAACCTACTACTCACCAGGGCCCAGGGGGCAGGGCAGCTCCTGGTCTCCCATGTAGAAGACAAACTGGGGTGTCCGGCAGAGCGGGAAAAGGTGAGTGAGGGTGACAGGTTTACTGCCTCCATTCCGAAGCCTCAGAGTCAGCACTTCCTTGCGATTCAAATCCAGGCGGATGAGGAGCTGCCCGTCTCGGGCTTCATGGGGTCCCTGGACTTCCACATCTACCCCATGCTTCCCGTGAAGATACTCAGCCCTGGGGAGAATGGGAGTTGAATTGTGGGGGGTGTGCTGCTGAGGTGGGAGGGTCTGGAGCAAGGGGTGCCCTGGAAGCAGCAGAGGACCTGAGCCCCGCTGAGGCTACCTCATTGCTTCTTCCACCTACCAGCCCTTTCCCCATGTCCTGCCCAGCCCCTAGCCCTGCCCCAATAACACACTCACACCCCACTTCCCCACACACCTGTCATAGAAGATCTTGGCTAGCAGCGACTTGTGGCATTTGCTGATATCTGACCCCGGCTTCATTCTCCTTTTTTCTGGGACCTGCACATCGACCCAGCGGTCGAGTTTGAAGAACCTGACCCGAGTCTTGGTGACGTAGGCCAGATTTGCAATCTTCATTCCATACAGCATGGAGGAGAAGCCAGGGGCGGGGGTCCCAAAGCTGCCAGAAGCAGAGGAGACTAGGAAGTGAGGGAAGTCAGGGCCAGGGGACGCTGGGTGGCAGTGGAGCAAGGAGGGAAGGGAGGGTCGCTGCGCTGGACACGATGGGCCCAAAGACAAAGTTGGGGGTGAGGGAGAAATCAGAGGGTGATGGGCCTTTGAAAGGGAAAATTAGAATGGGTGGGAACAGCAGGGTGTAGACCGCACACATCTGAGGAAAGCCCACCCCCTCAGACCACTGATGGGGAAGACTGAGGGAAGAGAAAGCAGGAAAAGCAGTTTTTTCCCCCCCCTCAAATTATTTGGGACAGAAAAAAAATGCAAACAACTCAGAGGAAAGAACTGAGGTGCAGGGGAAGCGGAAGGAGAGTAGAGGTGGCTGGAGGTGCAGAGGGGAGGGCGGGAGAGCAGAGCTGTCCAGTGTGGGCAAGGTGGCTATTCAGACAGCATCCACCCGAGGTCAAAGAGTGCAGGAAGGGAAGGGCTCCTTTTCCAGAGACCAAATAGCCTGGCCTTGTGCCTAGAGAAGGTGAAGACAGGGAAAACGTGTCAGAAGGACAATGACCTCAAGGTCCAGCGCCTGGAATTCAGTTTAGTCAATCAACCAATGCTTACAGGGGCCTCTTATGTGCCAGCCACAACACTAGATGCTGGGCGCTCACAGATACCGAGGTGCAGGCTGTGCCTGGAGGAGCACACGTAGGTTCCAACAGGGTGTGGGGACAGACACGGTGGCAGAGGGACAGGGTGTGGGACAGCAGCAGGGACACTGTCTAAAGGACGACTGCATGTTGCCCAGGCACAAGGGAGGTGCCCAAGCCAAAGCGCAGATGCAAGGCTGCTGCTGGGGCGGCCCACTTGGGCTACTCTGGCTGGGTCAGCTCAGGGACTACACTTGTCCGAGCCTTTAATTTCCCTTCCAGGAGATAGGGACAGCAAGACTTGCCTTGCAGGGTTGGCTGTGGGGCTGATCCCAGGACACTGGCCCTGCAGTGACTCTTGGTCCAGGGCTTGGCACATAGGAGACCTCGGTAAGGTTGAGTGATGGTTAGTTTCACATACAGTTGGGTTTTACTAGTGTCAAAGTGTAGGAGAGGGAGCGGCAGGAGGCAGCAGAGGAGGGAAGGGACCAGGTCATGCGGTTCTGCACGCCAGGCCAAGAAGCCTGTTCCTGAACCTGGATGTCAGCCACTGTCTTTCACTTGCTGGTACCCAGAAGCCCAAGGACACTGAAGAGGGGGGCCCACTGACAGCCCTGCCCCCTTGAGGCTCTGTAGGGAATGGAAGCCAATCTTGACCTAGCATACCTCTTTATCTTTCAAAGTTAAAGCAGGAGGCTCCCTCAGGAGGAACCAGATCATGCAGTTCTGAACTTTTATCTCTGGTGTACCCTGCCTGCAACTCTGCCCCTCTCCCTCACCCCAGGCAATGAGTAATGGCACTATTCAGAAAACTGTGAATTGACTATGATTTGTTTTTGAAAAGATAATAAATCATCCAAAAGCAGAAGAGAAAATGCTGAGTAAAGATTAGCTACTGCGGTTAGTATTTGTATTAGTAGTAATAGCTGTACTAATAGTAGCGGGAAGAGGAAGAGAACTTACTTGGAGCCCACGTCAGAGGCTACCCTGTGGTTACAGAACCTCTGTGGTTGATGGGTTTTAAGCAGGGGAGTGGCAAGATCATGTGTGCATTTCAGATCACTCTGGCATCAGGATTGAAGGATGGATTTGCTGGAGGCAAGACTGTAGGCAGGGAGACCAGTTAGAAGAAGGCCATTGATCATAACTGCCCAGTTAACTAAAGGCCTAAAACCAGACAGTGGTAGGGATAGAAGAGGAGGAGGCTGGGGCTGGCAACCATGAGCAGGATTTGGTGATTTACAGGAAGAGGGAATGGAGGATGGAAGAGGAAAGAGTCTAGGACTGTCCTGGAGAGGAGGTAGAGGCAGTGGGGGCGGGGAGAGCCATGCCTTTTGGATGTGGACACACTATGGCTGGAGAATCTTGTGGCAATGAGGCAGAAGCTGAGAACTCAGGTCAAAGCCAAGGCCAATACCAGGGAGTGCTCAGGCAGCAGATACAACCAAGAAAGTGAGTTGGGATCCACTAAGAGAACATGAATGGTAACCTGAGAAGTGGAGGCTAGAAAAACCCAGGGAGGAGAGGAAAGTGAAGAAACCCTGCAGAGAAGGAGAAAAATCAAGATTCAAAATCAGGCACCCACATCCAGCGCTGTGGAGCGCTGCAATAACGAAAGTGAAGAGGAGGAGGTCACTGGGAACTTCCACCAGGTCCCCTGTCAGTGGCAAAGGGCACAAACTCAACGCCTACAGCAGCCAAATTCTGACAGGTCTCCACAGAGGTCAACGGGAAGTGCCTATTATGAAAACACTGCATGGATTTACACATTCTTTTGCACCAAAATTAGCTTTAAATTCCATTTCCCATTAATTTCCTGACATTCCCCTGTTATTTTTTTTTTTTTTCTTTCCAGATACATTTAACTGAAAGACAGGGATATAAAGAGAGGTGGAGGAGACACATCTTCCCTCTGTTGGTCATGATGGCTGGAGCTGAGCCAGTCTGAAGGCAGGAGTAGGGAGCTTTTCTGGTGCAGAGACCCAAGCACGTGGGCCATCCTCTGCTGCTTCCCCAGGCACCTTGGGCAGGGAGCTCGACTGGAAGTGGAGCAGCTGGGAACACAAACTGGTGTCTGTATGGGATGCTGGAGCTGCAGGTGGTAGCTTTACGTGGTATCTCACAGCAACCCCTCTTCTCCCCACTGTACCTTGATTTCACAACCATCTCTAACACTGTTAAGAATGACCTATATGTTTCAATGCAATGCTTTCGCAGAAACACTGTATAGGGGTCTTGGACAGGCTCCCTCTTCAGTGCAGGGAAGCAAGGGAAGGGGTTTGTGGGGACTGAGAAACAAAACAAACAAAAAAACTCCAAACAAAAAACCACCAAAAAACCCAAAAAAACAGGGAGGGCATACCCTGCTTTCAGTAACTACTTGGGGCCAGGTTTGGCTTAATGGTCAGGAGGGTGTTTGGGATGCCCCAAGCTGATTCCAGCTTCATGTTAATGCTCACCCCAGGAGGCAGCAGGCATGGCTCAAGTACTTGGGCTCCCTGTCATCTCCCTGGAAGATGTGGATTGAGCTCTAGGCTCCTGGTTTGGGTCTGGCTCAAGCCCCAGCTACTGCTGCGCATTTGGGGAGTGGACCCAGTGGATGGGAGATCTCTGTCTGACTCACTGCCTTTTAAAGAAAGCAAATTAACAAGGCAGTAAGTGCTGGCTTCTTTCCAGGCACATGTTACCCACAGGGACTGTGGGTCCCATACGGCCAGGTCATTTGCCTTTTAAGAGAAGACAAAAGCTAAAACGTAAAGTAGTCAAAAAGTTATCTTCTAAGAATGTTTCAAATTATTTTCCATATCTGTTCCTGCTACTGCTCAAACTCACCAAACCTAGCCCTGGTCTAAAATTCTTCCACAGCAATTAAAAAAAGTTTTAAAATCAGACTTCCTATATTCTTGTGGAGAGAAAGCATACTTTGTAATATACATCTTGTCACCTCGATTTCCAGGGAACACTTTCTAATTTGGACTGGACACCCTATAAGCATATTCAACAGATCAACCAGAAAAGTGCTTGTGGACAACAGGCAAAGGGTTAACGTCAATACGGATTTTCTTAGAAAAGACTAACAACTCAAGGGAAAAACTGAATATTCAATTTAAGGAACAAATCCAGAAGCCCAAGAAGATGAAAATCAGCTCTAAATATAGACAAATGCAAATTAAAGTAGAAATGAGATATCACTTTATTCCCATTAGACTGTCAAAATGAAAAATAATCCTAACATGCAGCGCTGCTGTGGCTATGCTGAAAAGCAAACTCTCATACACTGCTGGCAACAATCTGGTGGCACCTACTGACACGTGAAATTCAGGGATTCTTGAAGACACAAGGATCCCATTCCTGGGAACACATTTCCTGGAAAACAATACACCCACGTGTAATGACAGACATGCAAGGATGCTCACTGTGGTCATTCACAGGGATCAAGAATCTGAAACCAAACACCCGCCCATTAGCAAAGAGATGGCTAAATCAACTGATGGAACTTACACCATGGAGTATTATACAATCATGGGAAAGGAATGCACCAAATCCATTCAACTGTGGCTCGTATGTGCATGGCAGGACCCCTCAGCCGCTGCTTCCCAGAAGCTTTAAAAAGGAGCTGGACACGGAAGCAGAACAGCTGGACCTCTGACATGCACGCCAACAGAGGATGCGAGTGCCCCAAGGGATGGCTTAATCCATTGTGTCACAAAACACCAACCTCTGAGGCTTAATTATTATCATTTAAAAAATATATATTTATTTCTTTTTATTGGGAAAGTCAGATATACAGAGAGGAGAGAGGAGAAGAGATAGAAGATCTTTCACCCACTGATTCACTCCTCAAGTGTCTACAACAGCTGGAACAGAGCTGAGCTGATCCAAGGCCACGAGCCAGGAGCTTCTTCCGGGTGTCCCATACAGGTTCAGCGTTTGTCTGTGTTTGCCTTATCTTTGGCTGCTGTTGTTTACTGGGTGAATAACAACTTCATCTTTTTAGACCCAATTCAGAAAAGGCCAAAAGCTAGAATGTTACTTTAGAACATGATGAAGGGGGTGCACTGGGGGGGTGGTGTCCGTGTTGTGATATAGCTGGTGAAGCTACCTGCTACAATGACCATATCCTAAATGGGTACCACTTCATGACCTAGCTGCTCCACTTCCAATCCAGTTCCCTAACGGCCTGGGCTTAGCAGTGGAAGATGACCCACATGAGAGACACAGCTGAAGATCCTGACTGCCGGCTTTAATCTTGTCCAGCCCTGGCCATTGCAGCCATCTGAAGAGTGAATTCGCGATGGAAAATTTCCATCTTTCCCCCTCTCTCTGTAACTCTTTGAAATAAGTAAATGACTCCTAAGACAACAACAGTAACATGATAGCATCAGCTTTGGAAGCAACCTTCAAGGGACATCTAAGGACTAGCATTGTGGTCCAGCCAGTTGGGCCACCACCTGTGACACTGGCATCCCATAGGGGTGCCCATTCAGGGCCCGGCTGCTACATTTCTGATCCAACTCTCTGCTAATGTGCCTTCAAAATAAATAAACTATGTGTTTCACAAACTGGGTTGCTGAGCTCATTAGTGGATCAAGAGCAAGATTTGTATAAAATTGAAATCAAATAGAAGAAAAAAGAAATCAGAGAGAAGAGGGTAAGTGCTTTGTGAAATCTGCATATCCGGGACAAAATCAAGTGTATTTTTTCAAATGTGAATGAAAGTCTTGCCACTAAGCCACCACTCTCCATATCAGAAGCCAGTACGATGTCTCGAAAGCCTGATTACACCAGTTTCTGACTTTTGAACAAGTTTTGTATACCCTTATTTTCATTTCATTCGAAAGGCAGAGAGAAAGAGTCAGAGAAAGGTCTTTTATTTGCTGGTTCATATCTGTAAATGTCCATTAGCAGCCAGGGCTGAGAGCTCAGAACTCACCCTGAATCTTCCATGTGGGTAGCAGGAACTTCTGTAACCTGTTACCTCAGGTGAGCCTTTGCTGAAATGGGCAGCCTGGACTCAAATTAGGCCCTTGGACGTGGAAGGCAAGACCTCACGCAGCTCTCAGCCTCTGTGCCAATGGTTGCCTCAGTCTCAGATTCAAAAAGACAAACGAAATGCTTTTTTTATTTTGAAAAGCAGAAGAGAAGAAGACAGAGGCAAAAAGATCTTCCATTTATTAGCTCACTCACTCATCAAAGTGTGTAGCAGTCAAGGCCGGCAGGTTCGAAGCCAGGAGCCAGAAAGTCCATCAACCCAACCTTGGGTAGGGATCCAAGGGCACAAACCGGGCGGCTTTCCCAGGCTCTACAGAACTATCATTCTACTGCGGCTGCCATGGGATGCCTCTGCTGTAGGAGGCACCTTAATCCACTGAGCCACAACACCAGCCCCAATTCATACTCTGTACAACTGGGGAAGTAGAACATTCAGATCATTGTTCAGAGTCCAAGGAAACCTCTAAAGGGCAGAGCACCCCCACAAGCTGTGCTTTCACTGGTTTGCATATACATGCGCCACTCCGCCAGAGTCCTCTCTGCAGAGGCAGGCATCGGGGCAGGGACGCACGGCAGGCCTTGCCGAGTATGTGCGTGAGCTGGGTTAAGGCAGAGGGTGCAGGGCAGAGCGCTTGACAGCATCATAAAATAATCTAGTTGGAAGGCACTTCTTTCCTGTGTTGGAATCTTCTCATTTGCCCAGCTATTTTCAGCTCCTTCTCCAGTACGTCAACTCGTTGAATTAGATTCTGCTCATACTCCTCAGGCCTCGACTGCACACAGGGCAGATGCACACTGGACTCAAGGCTGAGGATGTGGTGGGGATGGCTGTGAGGACAGACACAGCAGCGGTGTGTCTGTAACACCGGGCTCTTCCCGAGGTATGAAGGGTGAGCTATGAGAGCTCAGAGCAAGAAGCAATGCATTCCTACCAGCAGGCTGAGGGTTGATTTCACAGCACTGCAGGTTCCCTTTAAGTTACCTAGGGAGCCCAGCCTGATGGCTCATTTGGCTGATTTTCTCCTTTGCCAGGGCCGGGATTCCATGTGGGCACCAGTTCATGTCTCGGCTACTCCACTTCCCATCCAGCTCCCTGCTTGTGGTCTTGGAAGACAGCAAGACACAAAGCCTTGGGATCCTGCACCTGTGTGGGAGACCTGGAGGAAGTTCCAGGCTCCTGGCTTTGGATCAGCTCAGCAAGGTCACTGTAGCTATTTGGGAATGAACCAGCAGATGGATGATCTTTTTGTCTCTCCTCTCTGTAAACCTGCCTTTCCCATAAAAATAAAAAAATCTTTAAAATAAAAAGGTTGCCTAGGAAACTGCTCCTAATCCAGTCTCCCCTACCCTATGGGGATGGCATGACAACAGAACCTATTTCTGCCCCTTGGGGTGGCCCTCGTGATCACCCTTCACACCAGAAAAATTACCCAGTTCTTTCCATCTCAGATTCTTGGGGTCTCAAGGTAGGAACCTACACTGAGACTTTTCCTCCTCTCTCACATACTGAAAAACATTCTCTCTCCTTCAAAGCCAAGGTCAACATTGCTTTCTCCATCATATTCCTAACAATTACAGGCAACTGCTTAAAAAAGAAAGAAAGAAAGAAAGGGCACATAGAGTAAAAACTGCTTTTGAGAATCCCTAAATTCACAGGTAACAATGCACTTGGTTTTCAGGAAAAATTCCAAAATGGCCGGTTTGTCTCCAGTAGTGAACTATGCCATGTGCCCTTGGTTAAGAAGTGAAGAAGCCTGGCTAAACTTCAGTCGGGCACCTCTGAGCTCTTTAAACCCTTTAGTCTCAGGTCTGTCTAGCTCAATTTTGCCAAGAGGCTGTCTCCTCTCCCTCCACCTGCTGGTTAGAAAGCCTCTAGGGCCACAGTCCCATCCCAACACTACACAGTAAAGTCCTTCGTATTGGAGTAACTTTAACGACGGTGCTCAGAGCAGCAGCAGCAGAGCTCGGCTGAGCTTTGTGAACATTGATCGTGGGTCTGTGTACATGGAGTATTGACAGGTTGTACTCCAAGGTCGGGGCTCTTTCTTCCTTTCCCACCAGCATTTTTCTCCTTCCTTAGCAGGCTTCTTTTATCTCCCCAAGTACTAGAGGGAGCTGCACACCGGCTGCCTGGGCTGTGTGCAGTTTTTCTGAGGGCACAAACCAGGGTCCTCACCATCTTTGGCCTTTCTTTCAGATGTTGCTCAAGCAACAGTTAATGTCCCTCTCAAAATGTGACATCCACTACTGAAAATAAGATTCCACCTCCTCCTGCCACCTCCACCAACTCTGAAACTTCATTAGCCAGCTCAGTGGCCTTCTGGTCTGCGGACACCCCCAATTCTGCAGGAGTCCCTGATTCAGCTCCAACTCCCTACAGCCCCATATTTGTTTGTACATGTCTTCGCATTTATCCTCTGGCCCCAGGACCTGTTGATGGAGGCGTTTTTGAAGCACCACACCGTGGTTTGCCGCAAGTCGCTTTGATTTGGTAAAGAGAACACGAGACCTAGCAGCCTTCTGCCCCAGGGTGAACGGGGCCTCCAGGAAGCAGCCCCCGGCCCTGGTCTCCATGGAGAAGCCACAGGTGCTAATGGAGGTTTGCTACATACGCAGTTTGTGCTCTTGGCTTCTTTCTAGCGCTCTCAGAGATTCTCGCGCCTACGCTGGGCCTCTTCGGCTGAGATAGCGGCTCCGCAACAAGGGAGTCCCCAACAAGCCTGCGCCAGAGCCCCCGGCGGGCAGCTCCTTCCCCCCCACCCCGTCCTTCTCTTGAGGCTCCCCTCCCCCAATGCAAGCGTGAGCCCCCCGCTCCAGGGCCCCCCGCGAGCGGTGCGTGCGCGTGGGCACAGATCCGGCTTCCAGGCTGTGGGTCACGGCAGCTCGGGAGGCTCTCGGCAGAGATCGGGCGCGGGCGGATCAGGGGGAGACTCCGGGAGGCGCGGGCGGGGCGTGGGCAAGGCACGGGAGGGGAGGTCCGCGCCACCCCTGGACCAGCCTGCGCCACAGCGGGAGCTGCGTCTCTCCGAGCCCTAGAGCGGGAAGGGTGGTCCCGAAGCCGGGGTCGCGGCGGTGCCGTGGGCCCACGCTCCTGGGCGCTGGAGGTGGGCCGGGTCGTACCTGATCTTGAAGTCGCGGTTGTAAACGGTTCGCAGCCGCTCGCGATCCGTCTCCAGGTCCAGTCCCCGAACGACCAGGAAACTCTCGAAGGATTGGCCCGTCTCCCGGAGCTGCCGGCAGCTGAACTTACTGGGCATCGCGGCGGCTGCTGCGGCCCAGGCAGGAGAGTCCGTGGAAATGAAACTGAAAGTCGCCGCTGCGGCTGGAAGTTGGCGGCCAGGGGGTGAGGGTGCAGCGCGGGGGAAGCGCCCCTCACTCCCAACCCAGATTTGCAGGCTCCCCTCTCCCTGACCGGCTTCCCTCCAGTGCTCTTAACCTACCTGAGCCTTCCTCCGCGCACTCAGTCCAGTCCCCTCCCCCTCCTCACATTAACTCTTTCCTAAGGCGTCTGACCCCTCCCTCAGGGCCCTCCCCTTACCCCAGCTCCCTCCCCTGGCCTCCAGCCAGACTCCAAACGTGGCTACCGCCTGGGGCCCCCTGAACCGCACAGGGAGGACCTCTGTGCGCCAGAGCCCGGGCGACTCCCACGCCCACCTTCTGGAGGAGCCTAGGGACTTATTGAAAAGCAGGAGAGCAAAGGGTGGGACTAGGACCTGGGTCAAGCTGTAGCTGGACTGGGGCGGCTTCGTCCAACACCTCCCCCCAGACTGCGGGGACAGAAACCTTGCGCAAAAGCGCGCGGCACGCCCCCTCCCCCACGTTCTTTTCTCGGGCTTGCCGGAGGAAGGCTGGAGTCAAACTTAAGTTTGGGCGGGGGGGGGGGGGGGTGAAGAACTGGGCGTCCCTGAGATAGAGGTGTGTGCATGTGGGAGGGAGGGACAAGGGGCCCCGCCGAGAAACAGAGTTGTTACTTTTCTCTGTCACACTCGCTTCTAGAGTGTGGGAAGGTTAACTTCACCCTCGAGCCACACATTTGGGTACTTAATTGCATTCCAATTATGGAGCGCTCTTTTATGATTAATCTGTTGCCCCAGTCATCAAAACACCAGCTTCTCTAAAGCCAGGGGCTATTGGGCTGGGAAGTGAATGGTTAACAGCCACAGCGTCAGTACCAGGAAGAGAGAAGACCAAGGCACGCTCTCGGAGACCAACCGAAGGGGGTGGGGCCACCACGAAAACAAACACAACCTAGCCTTTTGCATCTGTTTTTTCTGCCAGACGAAGAAATAGAAAACACACTACAGTTGGACAAAGACAGGTTGTATTTTTCCCCCACCCCCCTAAAACGTTTAGATCTATTGGTATATTAACAGTTCCAAATAAATCCGAGCTACAGTTCTTAACACTTGCTCGTGGGCAGCCACACAGTCTCCCAACACAGTGGAAGCAAGGGCCAGCACATAGGGGGCTTCAGAGTACCAGTTTAAGTCAGAAATGCCCGGAAATGCAGTGTCAGAGCGACCCAAAGCTACAGAAAATCCATTCACTGGGGTAGGCTGGAAAATGAAAACTGCAAGCAAATATTTTACCTTTTTTTCCTCTGCCAATTACCTGATGAGGTAATGAAGTCTTCCTCGACTTTTGTCAAAACTTCTAACTTACAGGTTCAAAAACTTAACACCCACTAAATAAAACACTTGGATCAACGAATCCAAACCATGTTACTCTGGAATATACATCCTCCTCTTTCCCGGTAGAGCCAGTTGTCCCCGTGGGCACAACACACAACTTTGGTGTGGTAAAAATTTGAAAAGGTGAGGCTCCCTGATTCTGGTTACAACATAGGTAGGTTTTCTAAACCAGTTTGATGTAGAAAACAAGGGACTGAAAGCTTACTTTCTGATATGCTCTGACGGCCGTCTGCTAGGACAGCCTTCCTGTCTTGCTTGCATCTGTATGTAAGACTATGATTCCCCCAAGAGACCAGGAGGAGGTTCCTGACTGCTGGATTCAGCCTAGACCCACCCCATCTGCAGAATGAACCAAGACTGAAGATCTCTCTTCCTCACTTTTAAATAAACTTTTTTTTTAAATTTAAGATTTAGTTATTTTTATTGGAAAGTCAGATGTACAGAGAGATAGATATTCCATCCACTGGCTCACTCCCCAAGCAGCTGCCACAACCAGAGCTGAATCAATCTAAAACCAGGAGCCAGGAGCCTCCTCCAGGTCTCCCACAGGGTGCAGGGTCCCGGGTCCTGGGTCCCAAGGATTTGGGCCATCCTCTACTGCTTTTCCCAGGCCACAAGCAGGGAGCTGGATGGGAAGTGGAACAGGCTGGATACAAATCAGTAACCATGTGGGATCCTGGTGCCTACAAGATGAGGATTTTGGCCACTAGGCTAATGTGCTGGGCCCATTACTCTCAATTTGTTTTCTGTAATTCAGAATGAGTGTTCTGTAGTTTTTTCTGCTCCCTAAGATAACAAACAGCCCTTAAACCCTAAAATGGGTCATTCTGCCACACCAAGGAGAGGCTGCAGCAGTTACAATTACCAGGTTTCGTATTTGCAAATTCATGTACTATAATTTACTTATAATCCCCCAATCAGTATTTGCAGTGTTTTTGTTGCCTTTCATGGACGTACTATCTGAGGTGCCCAATATGCAGGCTCCAACCTGAGGTGGGGCACCACAACGCTTTGCTTTCTTCCAGCCCTCAGATCGCAAAATTCACTTTTTTGTGGCACATCCAGTGCCATGGTTTTTTGGTGGCTTTTGCTGGTGATTTGTTTAAAATAGTCCAGGAATTAGTGAGCGGTGTTCTGGTGTTCCACGCATGAGAATGCTTTCCAGAGAAAATTGTTGTTGTTAAGCTTCCTTCAGGCATGAGTTACAGCACTCACCAACTCATACAGTACCTAACTATGCTGAATGAGAATCAACCGTATATCCTTACGCTGGCACTGCACAGAACACCTTTTGACATCGTACATTTGAACATGAAATTGGTTTTTGCCCACAAAGGGCCTATATGTATCCTAAATATTCATATTCTGTGTTCAAATGAGATTTTTGCTTATCCTACTACAGGACCGTGCAGTTTTCTTCAGCATTTACCAAGCTTTCCAGGTCCATACAGTAGGTGGCTCAACAACTAGAAAGTGATCACAAGCATCTGGTTTGCTCAATAGTTCCATATAAATTCTATATTCAACAACATGAAGGTATTCCCAAACTAACAGATAATATAATTAAAGACCTAGTGTGATGGCTCAATGGCTAAATCCTCGCCATGCACATGCTGGGATCCCATATGGGCACCAGTTTGTGTCCCCACTGCTCCAATTCCCATTCAGCTCCCTGCTTGTGGCACAGGAAGGTAGTGGAGGATGGCAAAAAACCTTGGGAACCCTGCATCTAAGTGAGAAACCTGGAAGAAATTCCGGGCTTTGGATCAGCTCGGCTCTGGCCATTGTGGCCACTTGGGGAGTGGATGGATCTTTCTCCCTGTATCTTCTCCACTCTGTAAAATCTGGCTTTCCAACAAAAATAAATCAATTTTACATATATATATATATATATATATTTCATTTCTATTTAAAGAATTTGGAAATCCAAACATTTTTTTTCATAATACACATTTCCCACAGATTTTCTGAAGATCCTTTGTATACATATCAGTATTTTGAGTTTGGAGGTAAAATGTCAAGGTTTGCCAAGATGCTCGTGAACCTACTTGCATCCATCATCAAAGTTCTAAATGATAAAACAGGACCTGCATTGGGACTAGGCCACCATGGAGGCTTGGATAAAACAATTCTCAGCAGTGTCATTCCAAACTCAACAGGGGAGTGAGGCCCTGCAGGCAGCTCCTTTGCATCTGGCTGGGAAACCTTTGCCCTAGGCTACAGAGGCTGATTTCAGTGCAGTGTGATGAAATAGACACAATATAAGTAACTACTCTGCTAAGTGAGATTAAGAAGTTCTGTGTCTGCAAAACTTGGCAAGGAAGGCTGACTTCCTCCCACTTATAAACATAACCAAACCGTTTATTAGATAGCCATGAATAAAGTTTTTTTTTTCCTTAAAGTCTCTCAAGGCTAAGTACATCAATCAAAGAATTATTAGCAAGTTAAAGGTTAGAATGTTTGGATTACATTACAAAGAAAGAATGAGCTACAGCAAAATGTCAAATGGTAGGTAGGCATCTGAACTGGCCTTGGATGGAGGGGGAAGCTTGGAACTATCCCAGAATCAAAGCTTTTCTTTTCTTACAGTCTGTTCCAGGCTTGGAGGACAGGGAAGTAGCATTTAGAATTAAGCTACTGTGAACTACCAGGGGTTCAATATGCACACATCTTTTAATTTCAACTTCCTGTTGAGTGACTACGACCACAGTTGAGCCTTGCTTTCTGAATAAAAGGCAAGGAAGAAAATGAGAGTTTTCCTTTTTATATCAATGGAAATCTCAACGCAAAAACCCTGAATTATTGGTACCCTTTGAATGAAGTATAATCCAAAGAAACATTGCTCACATTGAAAAAGTTATTTGTAGCAAATCTTTGGATCTTTTCTGAGTCTACAGTAGGTGACAATGGGAGCCAATATCAGAAACCCCGAACATTATCAAGAAACAGGATCAAATGCAGTTGAATATCTTACCTTGAGAACAAAGACTGAAGAGATGGATCAAAAAGGAGACTCAGACAATTTTAGAACAAAACAGGTATATTTCTATTGGACTATCTGATACAGAAGATAGTGTGGTATGGATGGATATAGTATGAATAACAAAAAATACAAATATCTTTTATTGAAATAAACAAAAATGCTTACACAGCTCAATGAGTCACTTGGAAACAAACTCTTGCTTGACTGTATTTCTGAGCAAAAACAATGCTGAAGCACAAACACCCCTTTTTTTTTAAACATGTATTTGGAGACAGGTAGGAAGACACTACGTGGTTTCTTAAAAAACTGACCTTCCCTTAAGGCCTGGTCATAGAAGTGTAAACAATGTAAATGAATCCACCATTTTCAGTTGTCATCTCATATCTATGTTACCTGTGTATGCTGAGATCACACACAAACCTGCCAATATACCTGGGAAGGGTTCTACATCACAGTTGCATCTGAGTTCTTGGCAGGCAGGACTGAGGGAAAGTAGCTTGCAACAAGTCTTACATCTTATTTAGAAGACTCACTAGTATTCCCTTAAATTATAGGTTACTATAGAAAGATACTGCCTAGAAGTTAGCCTTCTCACTTTGGTTCATTTTTCATATTTGTGATTTACATAGTTGATCCATTTGCTTATAGTACAATCCTGCCACAAAGTATTAAAGCACAGATAACTATTATTCCTTCAACATCTGCATTTTTCAAGTTTTATACTCTATTATATCCACAGTAGGTCAGCAGTTTTTGAATTAAAAAAAACATAAATGGGTAAAACTGTTCTAAAAATGCAGATGTCTATGACTACAATAGTACTAGATGGAAAGAAGACAACAAGGGAAGGCTTACAAAAGGAAAGCATGTCCATGTGCAGGGAATGTGGTTCAAGTCTTTGGATTTAAAAACAAGTTCTCCAGAGAAGCTGGCTATCATGGAATTTCCAGAAAACCTCCTTGGCCCCTCCAAAAGGACCTGAAAAGCCGCAATTCAAACTTGTGAAAACAACTATTATGAGATGCTATAAATGATCAAAGCAGTCAGAAGGGAGAAGGAT